GAGATGATGGCTGGACTCGAGTGTCCTGCCGAGATGACAAGGTGTGCGGGCGAGGCGGAGCAGTAGACGTGTCCCACCAGGGACAAGTGACGTCAGATCGGTCCGACGTCGTGTCTCCAAATGTTCCACTCCCGCAGCTGCTCTTGTCAGGAGTCTCTGGCACTTTGCGCAAAATATGTTTCTACATCTGAACAAAGCTCGTCCCAATCCGGACTCTACAAAGACATCTCTGTAAACTAACTGAAACCTTCTTTTATTTCCTGCAGGCTGTGAGCGACCAGAGACTGATCCATGCCGGCAAACTGCTGCCCGACCACCTGCACATCAAAGATCTCTTCAGACAGGTACGTGTGTGTTTGTGTGCGTCGCAAGATTCCTTCTCAATCCAAAATAAGTGGTCTGAACAGACTGAAAAGCCTCCTGGAGCCGACTCGTGACGTGTACGTGTGTTTGTGGTCATATATGTAAATAACATTGACACGAGATTCTCTTGGATCCGCGTGTCAGTGATTAATCAACAATTCGAGCTCAGAATCTCCAGAACCACGTATCGCGTTACTCACAGAGGACGTCCTCATAACGGATGCATTCACTCGTTCCTCGCCGACTGGTGACGGGAACTTTCAGCTTGTTGGCCGCGCAAACGGAGGGAGCGGCTTTCTGCCGCCTGTTGCAGAGTTCATGCAAACGACAGGAAACACATTTCGGCCCGGTCGGGAGTTCCAGGTGTCTGCGCGGTCGCGCTTCTGCTGTATCGATGTTTCACCATGTGGCTCTTCTAATCCGCCGCTTCTCTCCACCGCCTCAGGCCGACGGGGTTCCCACACTGCACCTGGTGTGTCCACCGCAAAGGCCTCTGGGAGCTCGACCTAAGGTAAGAGGTTAACCTGCTTGCCCCCCCGAGCTGGCAGGCGTGTGAAGTCACAGGAATTATCTAAAAGAAAAAACGACAGAGACAAAATCAGCAGTTTTGAGTTCTGAGCCAATGAAAGCTGCACACTAAGCAGAACAGCTGTGGCCTCAAGGCCTCGGTGCACCAACACCAACACGCTGGACAGGATCGGCAGTTTATAAGATAAACACGACAAAACGCCGCTTATAATAAGTCAAGTAGAACCCGAGGACAAACACAACCACCAAAACTAGAAAGGAAGCGCTGCAGGATTAAATCAGTGTGATCATCACAGCAATTAACAGAAAATCTAGGCTGAAGAAATAAACGTGATATGGCAAACGCTTCGTACGAGGATGGTTTGTTTTTTCTGTATTGGTTATTTCCCCTCTGTAACTATTTACTTTTAAATATTATATGTAATGCATTTTATTTCTAGAGCTGTAACTGTAATGTCTCTAATTAAACTGAACATCTCAATCGGGATCAGGTATTAATTGTCTCCTCCCTCTCCCGATGTGAACCGGGGCCTGCAGGGACCGCTGGTGGAGGGACGAAGGGTCTCAAACATGCCAAATGGGTTTGACTTATTAAGCCCGGCATGCACATCACACATCTTTACTCCACAAGTTAACATGCAAGTTCTCTGAAGATACGATAAAGTGTCTCTGCAGAAGGAAACTAAATGCATCCACAATCTTTTATTTTGAAAAATGATCTCACAAACACAGGTGCTTGTCGCTCTTGACACATTTCCCAAGCGGCAGCGACTTTCGGGATGGGGGGGGGGGGTAGTTAGATGGCGCAAGCACCACGTGCGCCCCCCGTTTCATGTAACTGGAGCCCACCGTCACCTCCTCCCTCAGTAACCACAGTAACGCAGCGCTACAAAGTCCTCTGTGTCAACACATTCAAACTCTCCTTTACAGACCAGAGATTATGGGGCGGTCTGTGCTTCAGCCGACGCCGGCGCCCCCCCCTCCACAGTCCAGACTCCCGAGCTGAGGCAGAGGAGGCCGACCTCTTCATCTCACGCACACGTCCCAGAGTCTCCGCCGGGACCCGCTGCTGCTGCTGCAATGTAAGTCCTGACGGAAAACATTCAACCGCACGTGGTTCCATGTGACAAATGTGTCTGGGGTATTTGAAAGAAATACAATGTAAACGTTACATTTTGCCCGTATTATCATTGTGAAATCTCCATCTCCGGCGACTTCACGTCTTTCCCTTTCGATAATACGCCGTTATTGAATTAAAAACCAGCGATAAAACAGTTTACTTTGCAAATGTGGTGAATCAAAATGAAGGTAATGTAATTTTTTTGAGTTAGTTATTATAAATTTATATATAAATTTCAACTGTTACACATGCATGACCGCTGCTCACGTGTTCAAGAGCGTTTCATTTAGCGTGTGGCCACATTAGCGTGTGCTAACGGGGAGTGTCAATGTGCTACGCTAGCCCACTTGTTTGAGACGTATCGACTAAAGAAAAAAAGCACCTACGGTCCATAATCTATTAAAATATATGGGAGAGGGGGGGTGAACAGCTGTTTACAGTGTGCCGTTGTTCTGCTCAGGCCCGGAGCGCCACCGATGGTCCAACCAGCCTTCCCCACCTACTCTCTGTACAGCCCTCAGCAGCTCCTGTGGCTCCAGCAGGTCTACGCGCGGCAGTACTACATGCAGTAGTGAGTCCCCCCCCCCCCCCCCCCCACGAGTCCTTCTGGTCTCAGTCCTCCCCTCACCGTGTCTGACGCGGCTTTTTTTGCACGTTTGACAGCCACGCGGCGTTGGCGGCGGCGGCCTCCCCCCCACCGGCCGCGACCCTCGGCCAGTACCCGCCGGTCCCCGCCCACCAAGTGCCTCTTCCAGACCCCTTAGCCAATCAGAACCCCATGAACAACTTGCCGGCGAATCAGAACCTGGTGCAGGAAGGCGCCTTCATCAACCCGGGGGGGGGCGACCAGAACCTGCGGATGAACGCGCAGGGCGGGCCCGTGATGGACGAGGAGGAGGACGTGGACCGCGATTGGCTGGACTGGTTGTACTCCGCCACCAGAGTCTGCGTCCTGCTGCTCATCGTCTACTTCAACTCCAGCCCGAGCCGCTTCCTGCTGGTGACGGGCGCCTTCGTCCTCATGTACCTGTGAGTTCACGCCTCTCCTCGGTCGGAAACGCAAAGTGCCGGCAGTCTGCCGCGCAAACATCTGGATTATCAGGGGACACGTCGCGCCTGCGTGAGAGGCCACGGGCGGTCCGTCGTCATAGTAACACTGGCATTGTTGCATTTTATTTTCCATACAGATGGCAACAGAAGTCATTTAAGGTTACTTTTCCTATAGAACACGTCTATTTCTTCTTCATCAGATCATCTCGTCGACTTCTTGAAGGAACTTTATCGTGTATTGATTAATTGTCAGAAATGGAAATGAATTTTAATAACTACGTTTTCATAAGTAAATCATTTCTTGAAAGTAAGAATCTCTGTGTTGGGTTGGTTTAGAAATGGGCTATTTGTATCTATGAATGAGCTACCGTCACGTTTCTTTAGACCTCGAGGTGTGGATGTCAAACATCACGTAACGTTACAGCTGCCACAAGAGACACAAGCCTTTTTTTTTTTTACCTTCGGTATGAATTATGATCCCGGAGACGGAAGTAATGAACGCTCCCTTAATGTAGTGGAAGGGGAAACGCTGGTTGTGCGTCGGCCCACGACAATCAGCCCTGCAGCATCCGTAGAATCCGCCCTCCTCACATCTCCTCTGTTCTGTCCTCCACAGACACACGGTGGGCTGGTTTCCCTTCCGAGGGCGAGCCGAGGTCCAGGGACCCAACCACCCGCAGCCCCCGGGGGTCCAGCGCAATCAACAGAATGACGACAGGAATCCAAATCCAGTAAGGCTCCGCCTTCATTTAACGGGCGTTTTGGTGTTGCCAATCAAAGAGGGAGGAGCCTTAACTCTAAGAAACGAGCAAATCCCCCAAAACCCACCAGAAATATATTCCATGTTTGCACATATTTTACAGTCATCGGTATTCTCCCCTTCCAGCCCCTTTGCCATTAGAGACGCGACACCTTTAAGAACCTGGACCTCTTCTCAGCCCCCTTGTCCTCAGATGGACTCCAGAGAGTCCTTCACCAGAGGCCAGATAATACAGCACATTCATCATCTCCATAATCTCTCACCAAGACTATTATGTATTTATGACCAAGTTAACTGGCCTTTATTATTGAGCAAACTACACCAATGGGATTAGGTCTCGTCTCTTTCCTTGTTTGTTATCTTCATAGAAACAATGTTACAGGTAAACGTCATAAAAAAAAACTAACAACTGTTTTGTATATAGTGATTGTGACCTTCTCACACCACACAGGATGTGACACGGTCACAAACCATTAGCTTCCTGTCCACCGCTTAGTTATTGTCTGCGTGCAAGGGCTCGATATGTGGCTGAGGAGGAAGTACTTTAGCAGGAAGACGACTCCTCTCCCTGACGACTTTGCTTCCTGTCCTCAAGGTGGAGGAGGACGGTGACCGGGAGGCGGCTGCAGGCGACGGGTCGGACGGAGAAGGGCCAATGAGGGCGGCCCCAGTGCCCCCTTACCCGGCGTCAGTCGTGTGGACGTTGTGGGTGTTCCTCAAGACCTTTTTCTCCTCCCTCCTACCTGAGCTCCCTCAGGTTCCCAACTGATCCGATGGACAGTTCACGCAGCTCCTCTGTGACAGTCGCTCAGCGTTGGGAGCGTGGACCACGAGGCTAAAACACCAGCAAACACCAGCAAATGCCGGCCGGCTGAACAAGGACCAGGAAACCGTCTTTAACAACAACGTCTTCCTCCACGAGACGCCATCTGACCCAACGTCTGTGTGACCATTCGGGCTTTCGCCCCATGACTGCTCTTTGCTGCTCCTGTGTGCTCAGGGAGGAGGCTACGGGGGGGGGGGGACACGAGGACACGCCGACACTCCCGACACACGTCTCTCACCGTGAGCACGCGTGTGTGTAGACGCGCCGTTTGAATCGCGCGGATTCTATGATGCACGTTCCATTTGAAGTGACAATCAGGCCTCCGGTGTTGGATTGATTTACGCCGTCACAACCCCCCCCCCCCCGGACACGTTGGCTGGGAACTCGTATCACGGTATTTTGTAAGAATCTGGCTCGTCGCGGTATATTGCGTCCTTTAAAAAAAAAATAAACACATTCCTCCCTTGAGGCTGAAATCACCGCTGGCTGGCGTGCTAGCGTGTTAGCGCGTTAGCGTGTTAGCGCTGTTGTTCCCACCAGCTGCTTGACAAACGCTGCATATGAATCATTTTCTGATCTAACTTTTCCAAACCAAAACCGCCCCAAACAGACGCAGCTGGTGTCTCGTTGTTCCTCCTGCATCGCTCTTCAACCGCGTTTTTCACGTAGCGTCTCTTAGCGTGACAGCGGGTGAGCTCTACCCAGCATGCAGTTTGGCGGGGTCATTTTACAAATCTACATTTATTAGTGTTACAAATTGTATCACACACAGTTGTGTTGTGGCGTTTTACCTGTTTTAAAGAGTGTTTGTTGGTTTATTAACCGTATTTTAAGTCATAACCATGACTTCATCTCAATACACGTAAGACAAGCGGCTCCGTCCTCGGCGGTGAGCGAGGAACAACACGTTTATCTGCCTCGTCGTGCCGCTGCAGTCGAGGAATTAACGCGTTGTGGAAGCTGACCAGCACCACGATGCTACGCTACTACGTGGCTCCTCTCGCAGGTTCTCATGTTTCCCTTTTGGAATTTGAATGTAAATCAAAGCTGTGCGCATTTTTTTTTAAATCTGTGAATATTTCACAATCCATATGCAAGTTGCATGAACTCGTTGGGTCCTTGTTGCTGTTTAAATAATAATGAAGATGTGATTCACCGTATTTAGTCACACGTTGCACCTTAACAGCGTGAATGCCAGCAGGAACTGACAGCGACTGGAACTTAGTTCACACACAAAAAAAGAACAAAATCCACCAAATCACGTTGCACAGAGTGTTGTTTCCTGCTACTGTGTGTTGGATGATGTATTTTTTTGAGTTGGAGAGGTTAAGATATTGTGTTCTTCTCCTGAAGATTTCTAATATGAATAGTTTATTTCTCTGTTTGTTGTGACGTGTTAAACACAACAGGTTGATGCTATAATGGTAGCAATGCTTTAGTAAAACCCTTTTTATGTCAGAAGATATATTTATGGAATGGGGACAAGTTGACCTCAGTTTGAGCTTTTTTGTATATTTCTATTCTCTCACCCAGGGATGGTGACATCGTTCCTCCTTCTCAACGTGTGTTTACTCCATTGTGATGTCACAGATCACACTCATTGGACCGCGGTTTGGCCTGCGGTCGACGGCTAACCCCTAATTGCTCCCTGGGTTAAAATGCTTTGTAGGTCGCTTTGGATAAAGGCGTCAGCTAAATGACCTGTGATGTCATAATGGGTTCACGCTCTCATATGCTTCAAGTGCTTTATTATATTGATGGATTGCGTGTTTTTTCATCAGTGGGTTTTCTTCTCTCGGCACCACCAGCCCTGTACGATGGGTGTAGCTCGCCTCAGAGGGGGGGCCGTGTTCCCCCAGTGGGAGCTTAGCACAGCTTCCAGCAACGACAACTGACTGTGACATTGTCGGTGCACAGTGGGATTTTTATGGGATTTCCTTTTCCCGTTGGCCTTTAACCGCTCGTACAAAGTGTGTGTCGAGGGAGATTCAACAGTTGATGCAATAAATGTTCTCCAGTGCAGCGGTTGACGTGTGTTTCTTTTGGCTGCAGCGTAACGAGTGGACCAGTGGCCCACTGGTCCATAGGGCAACGGGGCGTGGCCCACTGGTCCATAGGGCAACGGGGCGTGGCCTCGCCTTGAGTCACAAAAAAAGATATATATATTTTATATTAATTATATTGAAAATACATTTTACAAATGGTCAATATGTGTATATTTACATTTTTGAAACATGGAATACACCAAGTATTATTTGTGAATTAAGATATCTGCCAAAATATATGCTTTTCCTGTCAGGGAAGCGCGGAAGGCAGGGCTCAAACGCAGAGTTTCGAGAGACAAAAAGACTTTAATAGTCAAACTTCTAAATCAAAAGGCCAAGGGGCAAAAACGTAGACAGGAACACTCAGATATGGACTTCCAGACAGTCAACAATGACGTGACAAGAGACACACATGGCTTAAATACACTGGGAGGTGCAGGTGAAATAATCAGACAATCACAGGGGGTGACAGGACAAGGCAGGAAGTGAAGTTACCCAGGGAGACGAGAGGCAGGAAACTACAAAATAAGACAGGAAACAAACCCAAAGTCCTCTGCCCGTGGGCTCTGGCGAGGTTTCACCGGCGTTCATGTAAAAGATGCTACACCATATATATATTTATATATATTTTTTCCCCTTTGATATATATTTATTATGATATTTATAATAGTTATGATATGGTAGTTATATTCCGAATATTTCGTTTTACATATATATTAATTATATAAATTATATAGTTATATACATATCCATTAATATACTGAATTGTTTGAATAAGAGTTAAATATTTAAGTGCAAAGTAATAATGCATGTTTGATACCATTTTTTGTTGTTGCATTGAATCATACCGAGATGTTTAATGAAACTAAGGTTCTGGCGGGTTTCTGGCCGGCTCTACCAAAAAAAATCCACCAGCCGCCACTGGTGTAACCACAGTGCCGAGACCCAGAACCTTTGCTTTTGTTTTTCGTATCTCTGGTTGTACTTTGACCAGTTTGCTTTAAAGGGGAGCCTGTTTGACAGGCCAGTGTTTGCCATCAAGTGTGAATTACACAAGTTGTCCCTCGTCCCTGATTGGATGACTGACAGGGTTTCCCCCTGATGAGTGAGGGACGCTGAAGGGGCTTAGTGGGCGGCAGCGTCCTCTCGGTAAAGGCAGAGCAGGCACGGCCATTTGGAATCTACGCGGGACCAAAAACAACATTTTTCCAGACTTTCCAGGCGACATCGGACACGACACTTCTCAGAAAACGCCATCGCGGAACCTCGACCTCGTGTCACAGAGGTCAATCATCCAGCTGCGCAATGCCTCGTGACGTCTTCCCACCACCGCGGATCCTGCTGCTGTTCCTTTCTGTGATCGGGGCGTCCAACGCCTGCCTGCAGGACCCCGCTTCCGCCTACAGGCTGACTGGAGCCGTGTGTCGCCTCACCTACCCTGCAGCTGTTGTGCGTGAGTGGGATTTCACCGCCAAACGCACGTATTTAGTCGATGTACCATTGCACGCCCATGATGCCCGTAGAAGGTCATTTGCAAGGTCAAAAGCAACACATTACCCTGCTGTCGTAGATGCTTTATTCCAAAAATAATGTCTTCATGTGCACCAGCTGTATTTCCCCGCTGCAGGACTAATAAAGGGAAATCTTATCTAAGAGAAACCTCAGAGCGCCAAGCCGGCATCAGTATCAAACACTAGGATAAAGTTCAGAAGCATAACGTGGTTTGATTGTTCAGGTTGCTTAAAGTGTATCTTTGCTGAACGTTCTTCCGCTCGAGTTGATAACCTTGTTTGCTTTTGCTCCTGTGGTCGTGCGCTTCTGGCAGTGAACGAGAAAACCACCAAAGTGATCGAGGCCGCGTTCCAGCATGCCAGATACCCAGGTGTGAAGGGGCAGAAGTCTCTTCCCTTCATCGGCAAAGTCACGTACGGCCTGGACAAGTAAGCGGACGCACAAAGACGCGCACAAAGAGTTACGCGTGCGCGGCGTCTTAAAACCCGCTTCAATTTTGTGTCCATCGTCACCGCCCAGTTTGGAGATTCACAACCTGTCGATCGGCCAGAGCGCCGTCGAGCTGCTTCCTGGGGAGGGCATCGCGCTGGACATAAGCAACGTGTCCGCCGTCTTCAGAGGGAACATCCAGTACGGATACGGCAGCTGGCTGTGAGTCAAGTGAACAAATGTCCTGCCCTCCAGCCGACCACGTCGTGGCTGTAAATATTAAACCTATTTAGTGCCGTTTCAGGTCTGGTCAAAGGAAGCAGTGGATTGGTTCAATGACTAAATAGTTTGATCCGAACAATAAGCCGTTAGACCTGCAGGATCACATAACTGGTGAAGAAGGCTTAAAGGCTACATTCATGGTGACGGTGTTGCAGGTTAGATCAGCTACATGCCCACCATGACACTGCTGGTGGAGGTGCTGAAGGTTCCACGATGGGATGAGGAGCAGAGCCCTCAGCATGGGTGGAGGAGGGGAGCGTTGGTTCTTTCTGAAATGTCCCGTGACAGCAGGACAGAGGAGAAGAGACACAATAAAGAGTACCAGCCAGCAGAGGAAGGAGCCTCCTGCAGACCTTCACCAACAAACCGCTGAAGTAGATCTCAGGTTGTGGCCCGAGCGTCGAGCATTGTGTGCAAACTGATTGCCGCAGGAGGGAGAAACCTCCCCAGGTCCGAGGGGCATGAAGTCCCTGTGAGCCGGATCAATATAAACGTAGCACGTTGTGATAGCGTCAGCGTATTGATCAGGCTGATTACGTCATTATTTGAATTGGGAGAGATAAGTGTGAGTCATTAGCGATGTGATCAAAGGGGAGATTGATGCCCAATAAAAAAAACTAATTCAACACAAATGTTAAGTCCTTTGACGTTTTGATCTCGAAAACAGAAACTTATGACTTTTACTTCTCTTTGATGATCCCCTCGTATCTATAAACCCACTTTCACCACCGGGGTTTTAAAGGGGAACTTCAGCCATATTGAATTATTGCTGCCACCGCAATTCCACAACGCGTTCGTACTCTGAAGAGCCCTTTTAATTGTAAACGACAAGTAGTGCTTGAAAAAAGTCTAGAAGTCTGACTGTGGGAGACGTCAAGCTCAAGAAAGAGCTCCTGAAACTCTTCCAATGTACGTTTCCCCTTTGGTGGGCAACTCCAGTCGTTATTCTCCCCCAATGACGACAACTACACAAGAGACCAGTTTAATACTGACTACACAAGTATAGTTACTATGTGAAAATTCTAAAAGGAAAACCGTGTAAAATTGCTGTAAAAAGTGCTAATTGTCCTGTGAAGTGCAGCTCAGGTCCACTGGTGTCGTCCAGTTCAAATCACTACGCTAGTTTAGTTAAGATTTGTATAAATGATGCAATCTACTTATCAAAAGTAGGATACATCATTGAGTAACCCGTCAAGGAAAATGTGACATTTTAAAGATTTTAAAGACATTTTTGATAAAATGATTTGTATGTACTTCTCATTTGTATTTTTTTGTTCATATAGTGTCAACGTTGCACATTCAATCGACTTTGAAATCGAATCCCAGATTGATCTTGGAATCAAGCCCAAACTTTGTAAGTATTCTTTATCCTCTGCAGGTGTTCATTGAAAGTTAAACCAGCACTGATCTCCTGGCTAAGCTTTGCTAGAACACCTGCAACAGGTGAACAGTGGCAGGATGTTTGCATTGAGGAGGATTAAGTAAGATAAGAACTGGTTACACCTCATGTGTTGTCATGGTATTGATATTATGATTATCCAGAATTTTTCCAAAACGCTACACGTGACCTTTCGAGACGGGTTAGTGTCCTTGCGCTTGTCTCTTCCTTCAGACTGCGGAGAAGGGAAGGTGGCGGCAGACACAAGGGACTGTTATCTTAATTTCCACAAGCTCCATCTGCATCTGCAGGGTAACAAAGAGTAAGTTGTCACCAGCGCAACACGTGTGCATCTGCCTTCCAGACCAGGGCCTGACCCTGCTGTCGTTTGCTATCTGTGGGCAGACCAAACTGGCTGAGGAAGCTCTTCACCGACTTCATCACCTTCACCGTCAAACTGGCCATAAAGGGACAGGTGAGGGCGAGAGAATCTGAACCAAAGGACCGTTTGTACGTTTGAGCGCCGCAGCGAGAGGAAACGTTGATTAGCGTGACAACGTCTTCATTTGTTGAGTGCAGCGGTCACAACAACCGCTGGTCTGTTCCTGCAGATCTGCAAGGAGATCAACAAGGTGGCAAACATACTGGCTGACTTCATACAGGACCGAGCAGGTGACCATCAGTGCGCAGAAGACCTTCTCATCTGTAGGAAGGCCTCTTAACGCCGTGTGTGTGTGTGTTTACAGATCAGTTCCTCAGCTATGGAGACATCGGTGTGGACATTGGCATAACTACTGCTCCTGTCATCAATGCCAACTACGTAGAATCATACCACAAGGTAAATAGTACCTGTTGAATCCCCACACGTAATAAGACAAATAACGATAACTTTGTCAAACAAAGATACGTCTGACCACGTACCAGTCTGCGTATCAGACTGGAACGTGGTCCTTCATCTCAATGGACGTGTTGGTCGGTCACTCATTGTCGTATCTCTTTAATGAACGTCACAGGGTCTGACCAAGTACAACAACACCTCCGCGGTCATCAGTGACTCCGTTTTCCACCCCAGTCAGCTGACTGAAGACAAGATGCTCTACTTCTGGATCTCAGGTCAGCGGTCTGCGTGACATTCTGGGTCCATTAGTCTGTGCCCGACTTAAAACTCCTCTGAGCACTTTTGTATTATCTCTACGTAGGTCAGTGTCTCCGTTATCGCGATCGTCTTCTGTCCATGATTTAAATCGTGTCTCTTACTGCTGTTGAACCTCAGACCAGGTCTTTAACCCCATGGTTACTGCTGCACACCAAGATGGCCTTTTGCAACTCAACATCTCGGGAGCAGAACTCACTGTGAGTTACTGTGTCCTACACAGTGGTATTGATCAAATTGCCTTTCAGGGTTGTTGCTGTATCCTCTTTTGTGAGGATTTACATTAACGTGACAAATGTGATTTCAGGACCTTTTCAAGACAAATCTCTCCAGTGCAATGCCTGAATTCATCAGAGAGGTAACATGGAAGACGTGTTTATCTCTGCAAGTACAACACACTTCAGCGAGACTCATGAGACGTATTGTGTTTGTGCGTTTAGTGTCTGCTGGAATCAGGTTCTCCACAGCTGAGAGTGTGGAGCTCATCCGTCCCCTACGTCAACACCTCCACCCACGTTGGTACGGCCGTGTGGGGGACGGCCTCCGGGCAGCTTCACTGTGGGACCCAAGGGCCGATACTGTCCTTCAAAGCGGTATGTTGCCCGAACGTTTAAGAGACATTGTCAGGGATGTTGCGTGGGGGAAAAAGGCAGGACACGGAGACACAAAAAGGACTTTAATAGTCAAAATGCAAAAACGCAAAAGGCCAACGTGCAAAGACACACACAGGAACATGGGGCAAAAAGGCTGGCAGGAACGAGGAGCATCCAGGACGATAGACAACTGTGGTCTCAAGGGATAAGGCAAAACGGGGAATCCGGGGACAGGCAAATTTCGGCGATTGGCTCCGGAGGACGCGTCCTCCCTCGCAGGCGTTTAGAATTCTGGTGATTGGCTCCGAAGGGCGCGTTCTTCGGCGCCCCCTTGCGGCCTCCTGCCGCCACGCTGGGGTTGAGACCTCACAGACATCCGCCACCCGACAACAGAAGAGACGATACATTCACACACGCACAGTGGCGGGACGTCCTACTACTACTACAGCTGAATACCATGACAACCTCATTATGACGCCACAGCTACAGGTCGTTATTCATTCTGCGTAAACACCTCTTATTCATATTTAACAATGTAACAAAGGGGGGTCAAAAATAATCCAAGTGATTGGAAACACGCTCTTTAAAACAAGCAATGAGGACCCGTGCAATGAGAAAATAACTAGCACATGTAGTGTATTTATTAAAAATAAATGAAATAAGATATTGATAGCTTTGTGGTTGTGTTTAGGCCAGCAGAGAAGGATTTGTCGGCACATGACAAACTCATCTCAAAGTGTAAAGAAAAATCACAGCAGAGAAAACAAAGACTCCCTGAATCTCTGCAGTGTGTGAATGGGTAAATGATGTTGTGTAGTATAGTGTGACTACAAAGGCATGTACATGTGTATTTACCATAACTATTGGTTCTTCCATGTATTATTTCTATCACATTGATTTTCAACCACTGTTGACAAGGACCATGTTTATTTAAGACGGTAGAATTAATTGATTTCAACCCAGATAAAATGTGTGTTGCCAACAACGCCACCAAGGTAAGAGCTAAGAGCTCTAGGAATAATTCATTAAAAACCAGGTTTGTTTGGGGCGGAGCAGTGGAACAATGACCCAAGAGGAAACGGGGGCGGAAATACTAATAAAAAACTAATACAATGATTAAAATATTATAGGAAAGCTAAACTAGTCCGTCCAAATTTATCACGGCAGCAGAGCGAAGTCCTGCGTGTAATTAGTCCACCGGTTCTGCTGCCCTCTGCTTCTTCTGCTGCTTCTTCTGATGCTTCTTCTTCTGCTGCTTCTTTTGCTGCTGCTTCTTCTGCTTCTTCCGCTGCTTCTTCAGCTGCTTCTTCTTCTGCTTCTTCTTCTGCTTCTTCTGCTGCTTCTTCTTCCGCTGCTGCTTCTTCTACCGCTTCCTCTGCTGCTGGTGCGTCTGCTGTTCGCATTTGCTCAAAACTGCGGTCTGTTATTCCCCCCTCTTTTTTCAGTGTCCCGTCTTCCTGGCCTTTCCCCATTGGTCCATTGGCCATATGCCACTGATTGGTAGTTGTCACTGTGAATTATTGTTAATTGATGGAGAATACAACCAAACCAAAACTCAAAGGACACAATAAATCATTAATCAAACAATCATAAAATATGAAATCAATAAAACACGCAATTGTCCCCAATCGTCCATCCCGTGACATGTGAGTGGTGGTCAAATCAATTAAAAAGCTTTATCTTGTGAATCAACTATGTTGTAAATCTCTCAGTTCATCCTGGAAGAGGGGCGAGATGTGGTCCATCCATCTGGTCCATTACGATTTAACAGACTTCCTGTGTGAGGCACTTTATAGGTGTTTCAATCTATGACATAGAGCCAGCAGACCGAATCAGTAAGTCAAGTTTTGGGATCACATTTGGGAATCACAGGGAGTTACAGTGACATTATGCAGCTGTACTGAGACGGATTGACATGCACCTGTCATCAAAGGCTGCCACAAAACGTCTTAATGCGAGTGAAACAAAGCACGGTCGTGTCGTGGTGCTCACACAACATTCAGCATCAGGAACATCTTGGCACGCAACTTCTGCTTTGTAACGTCGATGCTGTGTTGACAAGCCCTCTGTGAGACGTTCTTGTGGATCCAAACGGCTTTGTTCAAACAAAGAAATATGTGTGATGTGTTTTCCTCTGTTTTTGACGTCTAGCATGTGTCCATCGACATCAAGGCTTCCTATGCTGACAAGAAACTCCGTCTGCACGGAACCCCGTCTGAGTAAGACCTTTACGAGACTTACTGAACCTGTAAATTCTAGGTCACAACATATGCAATATCCAATTATTTCATTGGATATTTAAAATCAGCATACTTACCCAGAAGTCATATTTTAAAATGTGAACACTCATGTTGATGTTAAAAGCCTGTAGTCGTTGTACTTGTGGGATTAGGCTCCCACGTTTAGTTCTCGTTGAGGACTTTTAACAGAAGTTTACAACTTGTTGCCTCACCTCCACTCATTTGGCCCAGCCCTGCTTTAAGTTGGATTGTTTTGTCCCTTATGTACTGTGATGTGTTTGATTTTAGTTAGTTACAGAAATTCTCATACGCCTCATTACCCATTCATTAATTTCAACTCTTTGTGTGTGTGCTGCTTGACTTCCTTCCTCTCTAGGATCTTTATATCCGAAGCGGAGCTGTCCGGACAAAATCAATCGGTAAGACAGTAAACGGTGAGAAGGACCCCAAAAAATGCCACAAGAATCGATGCAGGATATTTGACATGAAAGTAATTTAAATGCAGATTACTTATAGCTGCAGACCAACTGCAGAGGCCCAGGACAAATATTTTCGAATGAAAAAGAGCAAGACAAATTTCATGTGTCCCGTCAGCATCAACATCAGTAAGACCCGCTTCCCAAATCCTCCCAAAGGATGCACAAATAAATTCTACCATAACACGAGTGGCGATCTCACGCCTGTCGACTGTACGCTAGGCTTTACTCTGCTTGTGAGCCCAGCTTCATAATTATGATCCTTTGCGACTTCCCTCCCTGTTGAGGGCACAGGCCTTCTTTAGCAAGCCGCCCACAGACTGCAGCCCGGCATGGGTGAGGCTCCCTGGCCCTGCTCTCTGCCTGGCTGGACGGGACAATACACAAGGGCTGTGCAGCGCCCCCCCTTCTCTAAGGGACATAGGAGAGACCTCCCTCTCCGTTCCCGCCAAATAGAGACCCTTAGAGAGAAGAAAGGAGGCACGGCAGTATTTGATTGTTATTTGTGTACTTGTATAGAGCATCTTCCCCTGACATGTAAAGGGTTTTCATTCATGTCACAGAATAATCCTCTTGTTTGATTGGACTCTACGTCTTTTTCCAGCTGCTGGATGTGGATGAGTTTCTAAGAGAAGCTGTGGAGAAGATCGGCATCCCCAAGGTCCTGTCTGGTAAGAATAAAGAGATATGGACGATAAAATTAAACCTGGCTTAGTTTATGTAAGAGTTTCTGTACCAAGTTCCACAAGCAAGGCAACTGCACCGGATTCTACAGAATTGACTGAACCGATCAGGATGTGGTGGAAGAATCTGTAACGGTTGCATGTTGCTTACGTGGTGTCTTGTTCCAGCTCTGGAGATTGAGATAACCAGGCTGCTGGACAAACAGGGAACAAACTTATTTGACATCTTCAACCCAGAAGTTCTTCCTCAGGATGTGAGTTTTTTCTTTGCTTTTGTTCATCTGTTCAAGTGCATTTTGTGCTCCGTGGGAGTTTTTACTTGCTGCTTCCGGTTCCATCTGTGTGCTGCAGGGCTTTGTGGTGATTCAGATGGATTTTGGTTTCCCTCATCACCTCCTGACTGAGTTCCTGAGGAAGACTCTACAGTAGCGTTGCAACCCTTAAGCAATTTGGATCTGATTGGTTTTCAGTGACTTGCCTAAAAGTGTTATTCAAATTAAAAAATACGTAGCCTTTCGAGTGATTATCGAAATTAAACGAGACAAAACCTACTTTTGCTGCAGTGTAGTGCATTATATTTTGGACTATTTTGGAACAACATGTCCTTTCGTTTTAAAATGTATTTCACGAAGGTGTTGACTCATTCTCATAGCTATTGTCGACCATGATGAGTGCATGACGCTAACTCTGGGAGAGGGTAATACATCACATTCATACAGTACGTCACACTACCAGAGATTCGTTTCATCTTTCTGGGGGAGCTGAGAGTGTTTCAGCAGTTTGCTTTTTGTTTTCAACCAGGAAGAGACTGTTTACACGCTGTTTTGTGATTTTTCTACTGTACGCTACGAGTTGAAAGAATGTTTTGCCCAATGTCCTGGGCAACTTCAACATGGACTGTTTGTTGGGTATCTGGCTACTTGGCTGTACAAACCTGGAGGCCAATTGGTTTGCGGCGTGATTTTTTCTTGGCGAGACCGCAGAGGCAAAGACAATGTTTTGAGAAACTGGGTCATTTTGCTTCAATCTCCACAGTTTGTGTTGATCTCGTGTTAGCACTGCAACTGCCAAACTGCTTGTTCCTCCCTCACGGAGCAAAACGCTGGACTAGATCACGGCTCTTTGCCGTCCTGGGTGGTATTGGGAAAATAGGAGACTGCCCCTTCTGGGAGACTCATTATGAAGACAACGACCAAACATAAAGGGTGCTCAGCCGGCACAATAATGCAGCGTTTCCATTAAATGAAGATACAACATTCCACATATAACGGCTTCCACACCTTCGCCGGTTCCTGGTGAAAGACCCTCATCCTGTCACAGCTACCAAGTGGGGCCAAACTACCTTCTTGCTGTTTGTTTGTTTCATATTGTTTAGAAAACCAATAAAAAAAGGTACCACACAGAATAAGTGACTATTCCACATAAGAGGAACTGGTTTTAATGTCTAATCAAGTTTAGTTTCAGTTATGCGGACCTCAGCGGGATCCCTGAGAAAAGCCTCCAGAAATTGCAGTACATCCAGAACAGCGCTGCTAGGATCCTGTTGAGGGTGCGCAAACATGAGCACATCACCCCCATCCTCAAATCACTCCACTGGCTTCCTGTCTCACTCAGGGTTGAGCACAAGGTCTCCCTCCTTACTCACCTGTGCATCCATGGTGAAGCCCCCCCCCTACCTCAAGGAACTCGTCACCCCACAAACCTCAACACGTACCCTCCGATCTGCCTCAGCACATCTTTTGAAACCTCCCAGGACAAAGCTCCGTACAATGGGAGATCGGGCTTTCTGCTCAGCTGCTCCCAGTCTGTGAAATGCTCCCCCTGACCACCTGAGGACACCACAGACTGTGGATGCTTTTAAACGTGGCCTAAAAACCCACCTTTTTAGGAGAGCTTTTGAGTGAACTCGTTTTGTTTTTGTTTTCAAACTCTGTGTGTTTTTATTGTTAGCACTTACCTGTTTTATCATGTAGCACTTTGGGATTTGCTCAAATATAAAGTGCATTACAAATTTAATGTATTTTTATTATGTCAGTGTAGGACTTTAAGTTGAATTCATATATATCTAGTGAACAGGTGCTTTTCTGAGTTCTTCTGACTCTGGCTCATTGCCAACTGATATGCACTTGTAATGCCAATCCAAAGCAACATTTCTTATGCCCTTTTTCTCTATTTCATTGTCTCCTTCGGAGAATGCCGTTTTAGTCATTAAATAGATGAATAAAAACATAAATACATGAAATATGCATTTGGAATACATCATGAAATAAATACATTAGGCAATAAATACATAAATATTAAATACATTTAATTATTTCATGGTACTTTTATTTCATAATGCCACTTTTCATTTCATGGTACTTTTATTTCATAATGCCTCTTTTCATTATATGGTCCTTTTATTTCATAATGCCAGTTTTCATTTCCAGAGTGTTATATTTCAAAATGCCGTTTTTCATTTCCAGACACTTTTATTTCACAATGCCGTTTTTCATTTCACGTTATTATATGCAAATCAGGGGGCGTGGCTACATCTAACATTCAGAACAGACGACAGAGCCGTGAGCATTTATTGGCTCATTTATTTATTTGATGATGTATTTCAAATGCATATTTCGTGTATTTATGTATTTATTAATTTGTTTAATTTAGACTAAATCGGCATTCCAGACTTTTTTCCACATCACTGGACAGCAGTAGCGAACCCGCGAGCCGTTTGCCGACCGCCATTGAACACCACAGAAGAAGAAGGACCGCTGCGGCCACTGGCCACGCCCCCTGGCTCGCTGGTTCACGCGAGTGACGGCGCTCGGGACCCGGCTGGTTTCCGTGCGGGCTGGATTTCCAAAGCAGCTTCTCCGGCTCCTCCGAGGATGGAATAGGGGGTCGCCATGGCGGTGAATTCGGTGCACTGGTTCCGCAAAGGCCTGCGGCTGCACGACAACCCGGTGCTGCAGGAGGCCCTCGACGGAGCGGACGGCGCGCGCTGCGTTTACATCCTGGACCCGTGGTTCGCCGGAGCCGCTAACGTGGGGATCAACCGATGGAGGTGCGTGACGTCATCGCGGCGCATTATGCGCATCGCACGGTGAACCGGAGGGTTATATGGCACGGAACCGGGATACGGGATTCAGCCCGCTCCAGGCTAACAGCCAGGCTAGATTAGTCTCATGTGGAGTGTAAGATATTTAGAATTAGACACACAGAGATGTGTGCTTATGGGTGTAAAAACACATTCTCGCATTGTGAATACGTGTTTGAAATTAGTCTTTAGGGTACATTTCCACAGGAATATTAATTCCCTCTGCTCACTTTTAAGGAAAAGTAGTCAAAAAATGAATACATTTTATTCATATAGTGTTTAAGAAAGCCGTGAGCGTGCACTTATCCCGACTCTGCACACCTGGATTGACTTAGCGTGATGAGCCGGGATGAGAAGGCGGAGCTAAGTCAAGCTGCGCTTTCTCACTTATCCTGGATTTCTCGATTCTACTTTTTGTGCAAAGGGTTTCCTGGTTTTCCCGAAACGTCCTCTCACGTCTAAAAGGCACGAAAAAGCACTGATATTGAGACGGGCCATTTCGTTCAGAAATGGGCATCGTGAAGCGCCGGTGAATGGGACTTTATACATCTATGAGGGGCCGTTTGGGACCCAACTACTGAGACACTCGTACTAACGAAACACTCGTGAGCATCTCACATCTCACAGATTTTGACCAGCGAAAAGCGCCAATCTTACGCCCTTCCTTAATGTGCTTTTAAGTCCGGACTCGCCCGTCCTTGCGTAGGTCCAAGTTCACTACCATATTTAAGTGACGGAATGTAATTTTAGGCGGCTTTCTGCTGCGGGAGATGAGGCTGACCGCCCGGTGCTGGTGGGGTCAGACGGTCCCGTTAACTGGACCTCACATCTCCCACATCCTCGGAGCAAATTGTTACGAAGGCTAAATTATGCTTAAACAACTAACTTCTCATCTGAAAAAGTCGTGACTTAAACCGGACCGGTCTGGTGAAACCTAAGATGCCTTCTGTATGCTAGTGAGATGCACACGAGGCGTTATGTTAGTACGCATAAGAGTGTCTCAGTAGTCCCTCATATTCATCGCCCTCATCACACTTCACTGCACACGCAATTTTTGCCCACAGACTACTAACCTCCTGCCCCCCCCCCCCTCGTTATTTTGCCGTGTCTATGATCCGCCGGACCTTCTTGACCGGTGTTGCACCCCGACTGGTTTCTCTACGCGTGTTTGTTTGTTGTTTACTCCACAGCGGCAGACGTGTCTGCCTCGGTTTGTCCATTCGTTCCTTCATATTCCTGAAAGCCTTAAAACGGATCACACATCCATCGCAGCGTTTACGATTGCGTAAGTGAGCAGTACATCGCAGCCGCGTGTGAAGACATTTTATTTAAGAAAACATATTAAATATATATCTTAAACAACTGGTTACCTTGGACGTGTCTTAGAACACGTGTATCGATTCTTAATTGTGACCCAATTAAAGTTGACGAGCAGCCCCCCTGTGAAAGCACCATGAGGCCGAACATACGATCCTTGAACAAGAGAGATGGACCCACAAAAAGTCAAGGAATCGGCGGACTACAAGCTGAGCAGCACATTTCAGCGAGGATGAGCGATATGTTCTCAAACGGCTGATGAACTGATAAGTAACTAAGTGCTATCGTAAGATAGCAACTACTTCGCTTTGCTGAAGGAATTGTACATTCTTGTTCTGGGTTGAATGCACTTATAAGTCGCTTTGGATAAAAGCATCAGCTAAATGACAAATGTTAAACTAAGTTAAATAACGCAAGCGTTGTACCTTTTCCAAACTGAATATTTAAAATGTCACAATGTGTAATTCATAGGCGGTGAGCTGTATTATGAGTGCCGCAGGAAACGAGATGAGCAGCAGCATCATCATCTCGCCACGGTTCTGTTGACACCACAAGAAGCCAACGCCATATTCGTTGAGTTTCACGGCCGTGACATTGGAGCTCACTGTGGGGTCGACGCGACTATGGACGCAATCCGTCAACGATGCTACTGGCCTGAAGACCAACGTCCATATTTCTTGGGAGCTTGTGGTAATATTTAAACATTCAATATCAGTGTTTTTCGATTGTCTAGATTGGCCAGTGTGATGCCTGCCAAAATAAGAGGACCTCTATAGGGGAATACTTACTAAATATAACATGTCTGGTTTACTTTTCAAGGTGACGGAGCCATTTGAATTAGTTGGGATGGACTTTGTGGGAAAGCTCGGGATCCGGATGTCTTCTATAAATATGGGGCCCCAAAGCGACCGACCGTGGGTAGGAATTTGTGAACGAAGTTGGTTTAATTTTGAAGCAAGTAATATTACTGTATTCATGGTCACATTGACAATGGAAAAACCATGATTGTATTCAAAATAAGTTGTCGTCTTGTGTATTTTCTAGATGAATATGGAGTCCACAAACCAATGGCTTGGTTCAAAAGCTCAATGGCACAATTCAATGGTATAAAATTATTTCTCTAAGATATAATCCAACAAAACCACTGTTCTACATGGAGACTGACTTCATTGTCATTAATTATTTTTTTCCTTTCAGTAGAGTTTTGAAAAAAAATGGTCCAGGATCATCCAAGTGACTGGGACCAATACGTTAAGTCCACCGTGTTTGGCCTAAGAAACAGCTGACTACAAAGTACTCCCCATATTTCCTTATGGATGGGAGGGAAGCTCGGTATCCTTCCCAAATACCTGTCGAGTGGCAGGTATGATGGCAATTTCCTACAGTTTAAGTTGCTTGGTAACTATATACGTGTCTCCGCCTAATTTGGACTTGTTTTTAATGTGTCTGCTCCAGTGTAAAATGCATCGCAGGACCATATCGATGCTCTCACCCAAAATGAAGTTTGCAGCCACATCACCGAGCAGAAGGATGTGTAGGCTACGGTGGCTGCAAACCTGGCAAAAGGCCACGAACGGGTGCGCAGAAGAAAGTTTGCAAAGGGGGATGATGACGGCTTTGTTTTGGGGGACCAAGTATTGCGGAAAAACATTATGGAAGAGCAAAGAAAATGGAGGCAGACATGATGGGTGCATACACCATCACGGACGTTGATGGAAAAAGTTCTGACCTTACAAGTGGGAAAGGAAATCGGGAAAATTAACAATCGACCATCTTAAAAAAATATGCAGACGGTCAAATTCCTGGCAAAATGGATGGCAGCTACTTCTACGTCTCCTCCACCTCTGCAGTCCGGCACGTTGAGTTGTTCCCCAATCGCCTCCTGCTGACAAGCCAACAACTCTCCAAACCGTCTCCTTGACCTCCACTCTGCACACTGCCCAGAGGAACGAACACGTTAGTACACATGTCAATTCTCGATAGTGATCAATCATAAATGACTCGCTTATACAGTATTAGAGAGTGAGGTTGTGAGGTTTCGCCAATTATATGTAACACCTTTCAATAATACTGACTTGTTTTGAATTCATGCATTCATAACATCTTGGAGCGGCAAGAAACAAGGATGAAGGTGCGTTATCGAGACTCCAAACGACGTCTATGTGGATGCAGGACTCAAACGCAGAGTTGAAAACAAAAAGGACTTTAATAGGAACATGCACGACACTGAGGGTAGGAGATTCAGGGTGGAACAATCAATGATGAGACACATGACACACAGGGCTTAAATACACTGGGAGGTGCAGGTGATTGGACACAGGTGGGAAGAATCAGACAATCACAGGGGACGACAGGACAAGACGGAATAAAACCGGAAACAAACCCACACAGTGACAGTTTCGGGATTTAAAAAGGTCATCTTTGTCATCTGTGAGAATAGTTGTGATACCGTAAGAAGAACAATGTGAAGATATTCCACACTTGTGTGGTAATTAGCATTATTTGAATGTGACCGTAATTACATAGCTCAATGTATTGTGAAGGTGATTTATGCAAAGGAAAACCGGACGGTTTACCTTGATCCATTAGGTGAAAACCCAGACAACTATTTCTTCTCTTCAACAGAGCTTTCATTAGAAACAAATATACCCAGGGGGGCCGTTAACCCTCAAACTGTTACATTATTGAAGATAAAGTACCTTAATGCATTTATAATACGAATTACCAGCAAAATTATAATTAGTAGGTAAATCGCTGCCTTTCAGCACAAAATAGTTGTAGCCACCAAACGTTGAGTATCGCATTTCAGTAGTCGTACGTGCAGATAAACAGCATTGGGTCTCGCAGCATCTCATTCATTCACATCGCTCATGGCGTCCACCTTAATTGTCCGGTTGCGAAAAGCTCTCGTTGCCCCAAACTGATCATTTGTTGGATTTCCGGGGGGTTTTCGGCGATCGTCACCAAGCTAAAATGTCAACTAACGGTCGCACAAAGTCAACTTGTACGTTATCGCCCAATAATGTACCCCTTGTGACTGAATCAACCAATCAGAACGCTGGACTTCATCTACCCGTATTATAATGTTAGATTGACGGAATTATGCAGAGCATGTGTCAATGCATGCTAAAGTCCAGGGAGAAGGGGAGATGGGCATGATGACTGGGTAGGCTTAAACTGACTGCTTACTAATCACATGAATGTATGGTGGATTAATCTACTGGGTTGCTTATCCTCAGATCCAGTACTCAACATGCACTCTGGTTCCACTGGGAAACCACCTGGGCAGCAGGACTTTCCAGCATGTTTTTCTTTAGAGAGACTTTCGTTTTTCAATGATTTATTTATTGTCTGTAAAAACGTTTATTTGTTTAATAAAATGTCATATGAGAACTTCATTCATGAGATTTTTGATTCCTAATGGAATTTTTGTGGGTTCTTCTCTTGATCGTATGTGCGGCCTCATGGTGCTTTTATTGGGACGCTGCTTGTCAACTTTAATTGGGTGACAATTAAGAATTCACGTCCATGCATTTTGAGGATTTTCGGCAATATGTTTGAATGTGTGACGAACAACTGTAATAGAGTTTAAAACCAAACTGGTTACAGCAATAGTGACGAGTAATTCATGTTAATAAAAATAAATCGGAACACATTTAGAAGACAACGGAATAACTGTTTAACACGTTTGTTTCGGATCAGCGCAGCAGCTGATTTAACACACACAGGATTAATCTTAGCCTGGCTGTTGGCCTGGCCTGGTCAGGGTAGCTACAAAGAATAAATCTCCATGGTTACTCGGCTGGGTTTAACTCAACCTGCAACCAAGTTGAAGCTAAATTCATCCAGGATAACCCGTGAATATCCCGGCTTAATCCCTTATCCTGGTTTCGTGCAATACCCCCCAGGTTCTTCCATACGTAGGCTTGTAGTTTGCATATATATAAATAAAGGGGTCTATATAACATCAACCACACAATATATGTTTAGCAGATTAAACCTTCATTGCACAACTTGATTGAAATGGAACCCACGTGCCTTGTGCAGCGTTCTACCTACAGACCCAGCTCCTCTCAAACAAGAACATTTATTATCCACACTCACAATTGATATCCCTCCTCAAATGTGGCTTTTTAACACCTCCAGTTTCTGATGCATCTAAAAACAAATTGAGTGTTTTTGTAACTTTGTCACACATGCTACTTAATTCATTTTAAATCAATTAAAACTATTGCTGACATCTGATCGCGCCTTGTTAAAGAATATTAGAAGTATATGATGTAACACCGCGTACAACATGCCGGCTGTGATTACATGACATCGAGCCGGCTCCCTGCTGTAAACTAATGAACAAGACCAGCTGAAGGTAGGTCATCTACAATAGGTCTTTATTTCACTCAAATAGCTAAATGAGGTAGCAGCTCTCCTTCGAGGTTACCTCTCGCTGTTGTCAGGTGTCATCGGTGTGGGGTTTGTTTACCTGGCGTATATCTGGTACAGCAGGTGTCTCTCTGAATGACATCTGTGATTCATGAGGGTGACTAACACGTGACTGTAACACTGAATATACATGTTCCTATTCCTGGTCCTGCACACTCGTTCCACTCAGACCAATCCGTGCCAAGCATCCATTCAACAACACAACAAGTACACAAGTGTTTACAGAAATCACACCAATCGCTTCCAATGGATCAATCGGAGGTATCCACCACCCGGGATAACATTTGAAAAATGGAAGTTTTTGCATTATGGTTTGGAATGATGATTTTAGTCCTAATTCTTCATTTCGAATCTAATGGGTCTAACGAGTGACGGCTTCATGACGGGTCACACTTTGCTGATTGAAACCGTCCTTACGTGGCAGGTGAGGGGACTGGAGGAGTGTGTTTGACAGTAACCATGACGGCGCCTCGGCGCCACTGAGCTCTGATTCTCATCAGACGTCTGTGTGCTTTATCGGTCTCTATGGAACAAACCACGCATGCATCGATACGGTCATCCGCACTGCAGTAAAAACAACCACCCGGTTTGCACAATAGAGGATTATTCTTTAACTCTCTTTGACATTATCTTAAATATGATCATTTCATTAGCTGTCTAAAGCCAATCAAATGTGTATGGATGAGTACAGGCATAAATAACACTGCTGCCTTGAATAGTCATAAGTGGATACTTACAACACGACATGATGGCATAGCAGGTTACCTTCCCTACACTCACTTTTACTGAGTACAGCTTGAACACACGGTTCATATTTTTAAAGAATCTATGCTGCCGATCTGCATTTAACCTTTTTTTCCAACCTACGATGGGATGGGCGGAGGGGGGGGGGCTTCTTCTAGCAGCGGTATATTTGATCCCTTTCTAACTTCAAGCTGTGGCTTTCATCATATTTCACACTCTTCTACCGGCATATGGTGTGTTTAACAAAGCATGATAGATGAGTAATCCAGAACACCGTATTAATAAAATAGCATGAAGATTGTGCATTGCTGAAGTTAAAACAGTTTGTCCGGTTTATATTAGGTTCCCGCTGCCAGAGCGCAATGATGAAGAAAGGAACGACCCCAGTTTGCTGATTAGAGTCTGCACAGAACATTTGTGTAACAGCTGCTCCAGTTTCAGTGAAACATCAAACCCCCTGATTCAGAATTGACTACGGAGTCTGTATTTTCTGTCCAGCAACAGCATTCCTGACTCACTCAGTCCCAATAAGTTCTGATCCAGCTGGTGTGGCGTTGGACACACAGGACTGAGTCAGTGAGTTCTCCTGTCTCGGAGGCCTCTTTGACTAACTCCATGCTCCTGTGTGCAGGTTCCTGCTGGAGGCCTTGGAAGACCTGGACAGCAGTCTGAAGAAGCTCAAGTCCAGATTGTTTGTAATCAGAGGGCAGCCGACAGATGTTTTCCCAAGGCTCTTTAAGGTATATGCTTCTCCCCACCTGTCATCTATAAGTCTGTCACAGACAAAAACACCACTCTCTAACGCTCTAGAATCTTCTTGGGCGTAGAGTTCTCCTCTAGAATCTTCTTGGGGGTAGAGTTCTTCTCTAGAATCTTCTTGGGCATAGAGTTCTTCTCTAGAATCTTCTTGGGCGTAGAGTTCTTCTCTAGAATCTTCTTGGGCATAGAGTTCTTCTCTAGAATCTTCTTGGGCGTAGAGTTCTTCTCTAGAATCTTCTTGGGCGTAGAGTTCTTCTCTAGAATCTTCTTGGGCGTAGAGTTCTTCTCTAGAATCTCCTCAAAAGTCAATTAAATTTTCTAAAATCCTTTTACTCGTCGAGTCTTTCTCTGGCTTTCTCAGTGAACTTTTCTGGCCTTTGTGGATCCCTTCATTTCCCTCGGTCTTCTCCCTTTCTTTTTTTTGCTCTACTGCAGGAGTGGGAAGTGACCAGACTGACATTTGAATATGACCCAGAGCCTTATGGGAAAGAGAGGGATGGGGCCATCATCAAGATGGCCCAAGAGTTTGGAGTGGAGACCATTGTCAGAAATGCACACACCCTCTACGACCTGGATAGGTTGGTAGCACACACCCATAAATCATATATTTGTATATAATGTCCATGTATTTATTTGTATATATACATACAATAGTGTTGCATATTTGTCACACAGATCTTCATGTTAGACAAAATGTGTCCGTCCAGCCATCTGTCATCAAAGCTGTGTATACGCGCACACACACACGTATGTATGCATGTGGTGGGCAGTCAGCTGTTTTATTATTTCATGTATTTTTAATTAATACACATGTGTTATAGTTATTTTCTCTGTTGCTTCCGGTGCAGCTTGTTTTAAAGAGCTTGTATCCAATCAGATTCAGGCCCTGTGTCTCTCTTTACACATTAAAGTCTATGGGGACCATATTGTTGATTGGTTGAAGATGCACATTAAAGTGTAAAACTAAGCCAATAGGTGGTGCTATACTTTTTTGAAAATCACTGAATGGGAATACTTTAAAGGCGTACAATAGCATCGTGAATTAGAAATTTCGGCCAGAAATAAAAATGTTCGTTCGTTGGAGCATTTTATATTTTCAAGAAAATTCACCAAAATGGACGCCAGGCCACGCCCAGGTAGTTGTACGAAAACTCTTGATTTTTAATAACTTTTGACCACCCAGGTGTCAGGATCAATATTCCCGAGAATGAAGTGGATCGGGTTCAAACTCTCGGAGTTCGTTCATTTGTGAATCCAAAATACGATGGAAATTGCAAAAAGCAAGCAAAGATTCAGCGAATGACTGCAGCGCCCCCTAATGTTCAAATATTCTGAAAAAATCTGGGTATGCTCAGGGACTCAATGTGAACATATCTTAGAGATTAGATTTGGTTGCGACGGGCTAATTACTTTTGAAGTAATAGGTCTTTTCACTTTTAGGCCACACCCTCTACGACCTTCATTGGTCCATAAATTAATTCGAAACCCAATGAGATATCAACAAGCTTTTAATAACTTCTGATGGCAGTGACCCAATAATGATTTCCTGAAATCTTCGTGAGAATCGGACCTAGCGTCTGGGAGGAGTTTGCAAAAACAAGTTTTTCACAATATTCTAAATGGCGGAAAATCTTGCTAGGTGTGCAACATTTCATGTCAATCGGTGAAACTAGGCAAAAATATCCCCAGAGGGAGCACTTCCGAGGGGCGCTAGAGAGCCATTTCTTTATCCCCAAATGCGCAACCCAAAGAATATCTAAATGTTTCACACGCCAAAATTCAAGAGTTTTTGAATATGATATCAAAAGTACGATTAAAGTGGAGAAATAATAATTCTTCGAAACACAATAGGGCTTTCGCCCGACTTGCAGTTGGCTCAGGCCCCAGTAAGAATATGTGAATGCGCTGTTTTAGTGCATCAGTTTGATGGATTGGTTTGTCATGCTTTGTTTTAAATGAATGTGACTGGTTCTTGTGCGTTTGCTCTTGTCATTGACTCAATTTGACTGTTTGCATTGTACGTCAAAAACACAGCATCCCATAATGACATATTCGTATACGTATCTGCAAAACAACATGACATCCAAGATGAAGTGTGGCTTTTACCTTTTGGATATAACAAAATGTTGTACTCCTTTAGGACATTGCTCTACTTTTATGTCTGTGTGTTTTTACAGGATAATAGAGGCAAACAACAACAGTCCTCCTCTGACCTTTAAGCGGTTCCAGGCCATTGTGAGCAGACTGGAGTTACCCAGGAGACCTCTGCCTCCGATCAGCCAGCAGCAGATGGACAGATGTCGCACTAATATAGCTGACAACCACAACCAGCAATACAGTATACCTTCACTGGAAGAACTCGGTACACACCTTTCATTTCACTGAAAAGGCCAACGGAAAGACAGGGCGTAATTAAATGTAGCGTTTACTGTTAGTCAGACTTTAGTATGTACATGTTTGCTTCGTTAGAGGTCAAATGCTTAACATTACACCACTCAATCATGTCTCCAGGATTCAGGACTGAAGGTTTGCCTCCAGCTGTGTGGCACGGAGGAGAGTCGGAGGCCTTGGACCGACTCAACAAACATCTGGACAAAAAGGTGAAACATTGCAAATTCATTTTCTTCATGAACTCTTAGTTTTAGAGGAAGCATTCGATGTGTCTTCCCACACTGGCTATGACCTTCGACCCTGTTCATTGGTTCTGTTTGAGCTTGTCGCTTGAGGATCGTATACACTCAACCCTCTTATCCTGGGTCGGGGGGGGCGGCTCCAGTCGGGGACCCCAAACGTCCCTTTCCTGGGCCCCATCTACCGGGTCTGACTGGGGGATCCCAAGGTGTTCCCAGGCCATTGTTGATATAATCCCTCCATAGTCTTGGGTCTTACCGGGGGCCTCTTCCCAGATGACCGTGCCTGGAACACCTCCCTAAGGCGCCGCACAAACCACCTCAACTGGCTCCTCAGAAGTGACAATATGTCATGTAATCACATTATCTGTGTGTCTGTCTGTAGGTGTGGGTGGCCAACTTTGAGCCCCCTCGTGTCAACACGTGTTCTCTGTATGCGAGTCCGACTGGCCTCAGCCCCTACCTGCGCTTTGGCTGTCTGTCCTGTCGGGTTTTGTACTACAACCTCAGAGAGCTGTACATGAAGGTACTGTGGATCCACTGCTCTCCATCACTTCTGATAATGAAGAGCAAGTTGAAGCGTCTTAAGCCTCTGGGTTTGTAATGTGGCGCAGTGATTGGATTTTAAAGTGACACAAAGAACCATCAGCTGCTTCTTAAAAAAATGCATATTAGTATTCAGTGTATGCATGAAGCATGGAATCTGGAATTTACAGATTCATCTTGGATTGAATTCTTCTCCTCGACCATCGACTTTGGAATCTGTTGCAATAATCAGTGTTCTCTGTTCTACGTCCCTCCAGCTGCGTAAGCGCTGCAGTCCTCCTCTCTCCCTGTTCGGCCAGCTGCTGTGGAGAGAGTTCTTCTACACAGCGGCTACAAACAACCCAAACTTTGACCGCATGGAGGCGAACCCCATCTGTGTGCAGGTGGGCCTTTGCATCCTTCTGTCCCGAACACCTAACCAGGAGGGGCATCACACCTGTGGATGTCCTTCTCACAGCAGTCTCATCCCAGGGTAGATGTGAGGCAAATGTTCAGATCGCTTTTATACATCACGAACGATGAATTGGGGTGCACGTGGAGAGGAGCGCATGCCGTACTGTTTCTGGCCGCGCGGTGTGATCGGGGGACTAGGAGAACAAAAGGCATCCTTCTGATGTCCGTGTCGCACACACTTTCGTTCTCAGATCCCATGGGACCAGAACCCAGAGGCACTGGCCAAGTGGGCCGAGGGTCGCACTGGCTTTCCCTGGATCGACGCCATCATGACTCAGCTCAGACAGGAGGGCTGGATCCACCACCTGGCCCGGCACGCCGTGGCTTGTTTCCTCACCAGGGGAGACCTGTGGATCAGCTGGGAGAGCGGCATGAAGGTACTTTAGTATTGTCAAAGTACAAGTTTCACAGCATCAATGTTCACTTTGCCAATGGTGTATGGATCCATCTGTGGGAGCCTGCAGGTGTTTGAGGAGCTGCTGCTGGATGCCGACTGGAGCGTGAATGCTGGGAGCTGGATGTGGCTGTCCTGCAGCGCCTTCTTCCAGCAGTTCTTCCACTGCTACTGTCCGGTGGGCTTTGGAAGGAGAACGGACCCCTCAGGAGACTACATCCGGTACACACCTGCACAGACACGATCTGCCACCACACCATGTTCCTTATTCAACTCAGGGATGTTTCCTGTGAATAATGTGTACTTTATTCAAAGAATATACAAAATGTGCCGGTCATCCAGAATCAATAAAACCCTGCATTCAATTATAACTCTGCCTTTTCTTCGCAGCCGGTATGAAATGGGTTTCCAGGTACCGCTGATGATAGACTTTATTTTGCAATTGGCAGCTCACTCCTCACATCGGAGGCGTGACGAGTTCCCCTGCAAAGTGAAGCCATGTGGTTCCTTGACAAATAAGCAAAAGCTGTTTCCAATTTGAATAGTTTTCAGAGAAACTTTTTTTCTCAAACTGACATCCTTTTCTAACTATTTTTTTATCCAATGGACCCACACCAACATTGATCCCTCCGCATTATCTGCATGTGCGTTTATGTCAGCTGCAAAGGCGATTGAAGTTCCAATGATATTAACTATTTTTTCAAAATGTCCTGCAGGCGTTACATCCCCATGCTGAAGGACTATCCCGACCGGTACATCTATGAGCCGTGGAATGCCCCGCAGTCGGTCCAGAAGGCAGCAAACTGTGTGGTGGGAGTGGATTACCCAAAACCCATGATCAACCACGCAGAGGGCAGCCGGCTCAACATCGAGAGAATGAAACAAGTTTACCAACAGCTGTCCCACTATCGAGGACTCAGTACGTCGTCAACTTATAATATTTATATATATAAATATTATAATATTTATATATATTATATATATATATATTATATATATATATATATTATATATAAATATTATAATATTTGTATATATATATATTATAATATATATATATAAATATTATAATATTTATATATATACACACACACACACACACACACACATCTTGCAGATATTTATTCTTGATCCAAGCACTTTAGTATGGATACACTTTAGATAGCAAGGATAGTTATTTGTGTGTGTGTGTGTGTGTGTGTGTGTCAGGTCTCCTAGCATCTGTACCAACGATCCAAGAGGAGGCGGAGCCACCGATGACCGATGAGTCACTGAGCGGCAGTGGCCCTGGTAGGAGGAAACACAAAAGCAAGATTCTCATTTTCCGTTGGATGATGTAGAAAGAAATAATTCACAGTCAAACTGTAAAATAATGTGTTGATTATTATCATGTTATCCTAGACTCTGCTGATTATGAAGCAGCTGGCTGCTCCACAGCTCCAGAGTTGTCCACAGTCTACCCATCCTCCACCTTTGCCCCATACCCAGACCTGGAGGGTGCAGCAAACATCCGCCCATCCCAGACCCTCAGTGGCTCCTCCGGCTCGCGCACACAGTCCTGTATAGCTGCCGCCGTGTCTACAGGGGCTCATGTCCCATGTCCCAACGTGTCCCCGTCCACTCAGCCCTCCTGTCGGGGGCAGAGGAGGAAAGGCCTCACTCGTAAGGTGCGGCGCAACCAGAGGCAGCGAGGACGCAAGGAGGAAGTAAGGGGAGCAAAGGAAGCAGGAAGGGAGGAGAGGATGGAGGAGGACGTTGAACCACATGAGGAGACAATGGAGGAAGGTACTTTTGAAGACGTCAGCAGACATCAGCAGTGATTGGGAGGTGAGCAGCTATAGAAATCATGCTAAAGGGAACTTATGTAACACATACAACTCTACTAGTGGGCATTAATTGTTAAAAAGGACAACATCGACTTGCTGTTTGGATGTTACTGCTAATGGAAATAGCAAAAAATATGAGGCAATTTGACAACAGAACAAACTTCAACACTAACTCAAGAAAAGTTGTGGCTCGTGAGTCGACATCAGACTACATTCCTGGTCTGCACGGTGCATCATTTGAGCTTGTGTTCGATTGAAAGGACAAACAACCAAAGATTCTGTTGCGCGTTTTCATCCCGGGTACGTCCTGTTCTGCAGAGTGAAGCCAGTGTGTAACTTTGGTGCCTCACCTGCGCCATTACATTAATGTTGGTTCAGTCGAACGTCAACAGCAACAAACAGCCAAGCCCTCGTTGCTCCCTCCCTGAGGGTTGATCCCTCCCTCGGTCTTCTTCTCCTCACTTTACCCTCTCGGCAGCGCCGACTAGAGCTCAGAATTTGCATCCATCTTAACACAACCAAATACTAAATATGTGTATACGAGATGATAGAATTTCACTCTTACACTACTTTTATGGTTTCTCTTTCAGGTGGAGATCAAAAGGAGAATCTTTAAACATCTCTCTCGGATAACTGGACTCATGAAGACAAAACAGTCTTTCAAAAGGCATTCATATATAATATATATTATATAACAGAGGGCGCCCCCCCCCCCCACCCTGAAAAAGTATGGAATTAATTAATTAATTATTTTCAAATGCCCCAAGGGGAAACACTGTATACAGCATCTAGGTTCTTAATGAGAGCGCAGGCGCCGTGCGTGGGCTTATTTCCCTTCCTTGTGCAAATTTTAGGCCAGGGGAGGATCACTGGAATATATATATATATATATAATTTATCAGAGGTTGTATATAGAATATGTAAATACGTAACCTGTCTGCTTTGCTAATGCTTTGATAAAGGGGTTTTCACAAAGGCTTGTTCCTTCTTTCCAATATTTCCTACTAACTGGAGGTACTTGATGGACATGGGACTGGTGGCGTGTTACAGTTGGTTGTCATTTATTAGTTAGTTCTGTTTACTTTTGTATGAAAATAATTGAATATCTATTTAGTGAATCCTCGCATCTTAAAAGCTAAAAGCCAAAAACATTGTTTCATAGATTAGTTATAACAGTCATGTAGTTAAATAATTGAGAAATGTTTTTCAGCCCTATCCAGTTCTACAGTTTCACGCTTGATATTTCTTTCGTTGAGCTAACAGGTTTGTCTCAATAGTCTTTTTCTTGTGACATTAGCATGTATATACCTTGTAATGGCAATAGACATTAAGTTTGTACTTTGTACAGAAGGAGTGAAACAGAGCAGGTGATGTTATAACTGGAGGGAATCTTCAGGTATTTGCTGATCAGATCAGATATTTTTTCTGTCAATCTGTTGGACTCGTACCACCTCATTTTTCAACCTTCAGTGTAGAAGGTCCACGCAAACAACCACGGCTCCACTTCACACGGACTGCAGTGCAGAGCTGAACAGATTGATCGCTCGCCGTGTTGAAGATGAGATGCATCCTGTCAACTGTCGAGGACTTTTGTACTACTGCTTGATTTGAAGGCCTGTTGCCCTGTTGATTACAATAAATAGGTCTAAAAAACATATGTTTATTGTGTTTGACTGTTCAATACTATTTATATTCATTACATTTAAAAAGCAGACATAAAAGTTACTTAAGTTACTTTCCAGAGTAACTAATTACTTTTGATACACAGTAACTGGTAAGTAATTCAATTACCTTTAAAAGAAGTAACTAAATACTCATTTTCAGTAACTTGCCCAACACTGCTCTTACACATTAAACTAACAGTAACATTTGAGCACAACACAACAGAACCTAGAATAACACACACAAACTTAATGAAAAAAAAAATCTCACGAGCTACTTTCTATCTGCGCATGATGGGTATGGTTGCTAGGTTGTAACTAAGGACTCGAAAGGGCGCGAGAAGCTAGATGGGAGCAAGTCAGGCTACTACCATGGCAGAAGCTAAAAAATCTAAAACTCATCATTTTCATTCAGAGTGGAAGGAGGATTATTTTTTTGTGTATTCGAATGCAAAGTCCATCTGTCTTATCTGCAATGCAAACGTGGCTTTACCAAAGAAAGGGAATTTGGAGCGGCATCTCAAGACGGTCCACAAGAGCTACGATACAAACTTCCCAGCTAAATCACCTATGCATGCCCGAAATGGAGTTGAAAAGTCAGCTGGCAGCACAAGAGTCCGTTTTTACCAGGCCCAACACCAAAAGTAAGGCTGCAACCATAGCATCTTATCGAGTCAGTCATGTTCTTGCAAAAGGAAAGAAGGAAAGAAGGAAAGAGCGTTCATGGAAGCTGCAGATGTGCTCTTCGCCGATTTTAAAAATCGGAAGGATATTGTGTCTGCTATTTAGGACTTATCAAGGTAAGTTTAGCAGTTATCAAGGAATTCTGTTACACGGCGATGCGAGGGAATGGCGGAGAATGTTGAACAGCAATTGAGGAATGATAGTGACACATGTGATTGTTTTTCTCTCCAATTCGATGAATCCACCGATGCTGTGGATGCGGCTCAACTACGTGTTTTCGTTAGAATGGTTTTTGGACGACATGAGTGTAAAAGAAGAGCTGCTGACCATTTTGCCTTTGAAAGGGCACACACATTTTTCAAGTTTTCATGGAATTCACTAAGAAGACCCAGTTGCCCCTCTTCAAACTCGCCTCCATTACAACCGATGGGGCTCCAGCTATGGTTGGACACACTGCTGGGTTCATTGGATTGTGCAAACAGTGTGAATCTTTCCCGGATTTCCTGAATTACCATTGTATAATGGTATTTGGTATAAAATGGAGTATAATGGTATAAAACGGAGGAGACAGGTGCAGAACACACAGATCTGCTGCTGCACACAGACGTTAGGTGGCTCAGCAGAGGTAAATATCTGGAACGGTTTTCTGAATTGTTGCCCGAAATTAAAGAATTTCTGAAACGTTCAAACCATGCTGGTCATGCACAGCTAGAAGACAGTCAATGGCTGTTGGATTTAGCTTTTCTTACCGATCCGACTGACAAGCTCAATAACTTGAATCTAGAGCTGCAGGGTAAGGAGAAACACATCATGAACACAATCAGCGCCGTGAACACCTTTAAAAAGCAAGTTACACCTGCTATCAAGCCCGTTGCGACAGTGTGATCTGCGGAACTTTACACACATGGACACAGAACTTAAGCGTCAGGGCAAAGACTGTTATGATGAGCAAGTGCAGAGCATCTTGTCAGAATTTGACAGGCGCTTCACTGACTTTGCATCCATCTGTTTTCCATTTGGGGAAAATATAGATGTGGATTGTATAACGTCCAAAGTGGCATCACTCTTCAACCTGGATAGCTGTGCTGTTGAGAATGAGATCCTCACACTGAAGAATTACATTGAGCTCCAATCCAGAGCAACACATGACATGAATGTCCAGTTCTGGAATCTAATGCAGAAAGAGAAGTACCCCAACCTCAGACAAACTGCAGAGAATTTGACTGCACTTTTTGGATCAACATATTTGTGTGAGTCTGCTTTTTCACATATGAAAACCATCAAGTCAAAATACAGATCCACCATGACTGATGACCACCTTGCAGTCTGCTTACGGCTGCCACTCAGCTCTTACTGTCCGGACTATGAGAGACTATAGTCCTCCTCTCAGTGCCAGAAATCCCACTAACGGTAAAGAAATACCACTTTTCCAACTCGAATTAGTTCTTATAAAAAAGAATAAAAGAATTAGGCATTGCATTATTTTGGTTGTTTGTCTGTTGTGTTGTTACGGGCCAGTCCTAGGCCTACTTGTGCTTATTCTTTGCGCATTCACATTTACTTCAAAAATGTATTATGATTGTTAAAACTCTATGTGTCAGAAAACAGTGTCCTATATAGGTGCTCAATAAATTGTGGCTACGCTAGGGCTTTCGATATGGCTTGGTGGATCTCGATGCTCAACTTTAAAAGTAGATCTTGGTTCAAAAAAGGTTGGGCACCCCTGCCTTAAAGGGTTTGACAGCAACTATGTGATTGGTTTAGAGCCACAGCGCCGCCTCTGTTGGTCGTATACACCTGGGTGCAGCCAATCTCCACTGATTGGATAATTCTGGGAGACCAGCTGAAGCATATTTACATTACGCGTGGCATAAAGGGAGTCTTCCTTCTAGAACTACCGCTTAAGCGCTATTTCAATCAGGACAGACTCTGTCTGAATTGACAAACATTTATTACACAGTATAATATTGAAATAGTGCAGAATCTTTGGCGGTTGAACTCCATCCTAAACCGGGATAATCAAGGGGCCGTGATGCAGAGTTCTGCTATGCATAAAATGAACAGTGTCTTACCTACCGCCGCCCCAGCGTCCTAAGCAAAAGAGAACATTAGTCACAGGATAAATGGTTTATATCATCACTTTAGGTTCGCTAGCCAGAGTAGACCCAGTGACTAGTACAGCGAAAAACACCCACCAATGTATGAGGGGCCGTGAGGGACATTATTCAGAATACCCTCTGACACACACTACTGGAATTCTATACGCTCACACACACTACTGAAATGCTCTCACACACACGCATATGAAAATCTCAGTTAAAACGGAAGGTGTGCGGCAATAATGTCAGCTCAACCGTGTGCTCAACAGGCTTCAAGCAACTTAGCCGAAGCAGCGGCGTTACTAAACAATATATTGGCCTCAGTGGAGACAATCAGAACATTGTCTAATGCCTCAAGTGTTCAGCAGCAGCCGGTCGTTTTTCGCGGCTCCAGGTGTGGACACAGTCGACAGCCACCTAGCAGCTCTCTTTCCGTCCCGGCAGCGTAGCGGCGCGCCGCTGTCTGCCGCGGGTCCAACCGGGAGACACTGTGCATCCCGCTATCAAGCGCAGCAGCACTTCGGCACGTGGACATCCAAAGGCATGAGGAGAAAAAGGTAATTATACGTATGGAAATGATCTTTCGTGTGCAGTTTGCTAGCTGGCTAGTTCACCTCTAGGACACTAGCCTAGCCTAGCTTACTGTATGAATGAACGAATGAACCAACAAACAATATTTAACTCAAAAAGGAGTAAGCGTGGGAATTGGGTTTAACTAAAACCAGGAATGTAGTGTATATGTGAATGGAATGTATTGTAACGGACTGTTGTTAACATGTTCCGTGAGCAGGGATGCACTTTACGGAGTTTGAAAGTTTAGTGAAGGGCAAATGTTTATGTCGCTCATCCTAGTGCCACCTATGGGAATATGTTGTGGTGATGTTTGGGTACGGTGGCCGAGAAGGTTCAGACAAAAGCCACAACACAAACGCAAATGCTACAACACAACCCGAAAGCCACAACACAAACGCAAATGCCACAACACCAAAATACAAAAGCCACAACACAACCCGAAAGCCACAACACAAAAGCCACAACACAAACGCAAAATGCCACAACACAAAAGCCACAACACAAACGCAAAATGCCACAACACAAACGCAAATGCCACAACACAACCCAAATGCCACAACACAAACGCAAAATGCCACAACACAAACGCAAAATGCCACAACACAAACGCAAAATGCCACAACACAAGCCGAAAGCCACAACACAAGCGCCACAACACAAAAGCCACAACACAAAATACAAAAGCCACAACACAAAATACAAAAGCCACAACACAAAAGCAAATGCCACAACACAACCCGAAAGCCACAACACAAAATACAAAAGCCATAACACAAACGCAAATGCCACAACGCAACGCAAAAGCAAAAACGGAAGTAGTAGTAGTAAGAAGTTATTCTTACTTAACGATCTGGCATCCTCCAGTACGCTCGCTCCCGTGGGCAGCCATTTCCGTTTTTGAGATAAATGTATTAGAGAAGTGGAATGCTGGAATACTCAATGTCACAGGGAAGTCAATGTTTTAAAAAACTTACAGATGAAACATGTAAAATGGACTTCCCTTAAGAAACATGCGCTGCTTTAGCGTTAGCTAACGCAAGTTAACGTTAGCTAAAGCTGCGCATGTTGGTGATGCTCTGAAGCCGTGTTAACTGACAGTGACTGACTCGCCTCGGTGGCTTTGAAGATGACTGACTGACTTTCTGACCTCTGGTCATGATGCTAAACACGCTCAGCTAACTAGCTTAAATGCTGCCAAATCGGACTTCAGTAAAATGGAATTTCTCTGGTTTAACTTTTTAAGAATGTTTCACAACTTGTGTGCAAGCGTTATTTAACAACGTAACAAAAAGCAGTTAACGTTACTTACCAAATAACGGATTTTCACCCGAGCCAATTTCAGTCAGCAAAAAAGCCAGAAGGAACACATGCGCAAACGGTAGTCCTTGATTAATGAATTTGAGTTGACACATACACGCTTTAACCTAAATAAATCTCATAAGTGAAACTATTAAACCATTTTATGTTGCTGCTATTGATTACATATATCTTCATCCTTGAATAGATGTATTCAAATAAAGCAAACACCATTTAAACTCATTGAGTGTGCCACTTGTTTGCTTCCCCTCTGGTGATGGAATTATGGATTTTTCTTTTACCCTTTTTGAAATCTTTAGTTTTCAGATCTTTTGAGTGGAAGTTTCTGCTCACATCTGTTCTCCTCTTGGGTCTTTTCCTACAGAACCACAACAACAACACTTGCATGTAATCCTAAACATTGTAATGCACTGGGTTTGACCCATCTGTAATGTGGCTGTAAATTGTTTTAAGTTAAAACTACAGCCAGTGGTACATAAAGATACCAAAGCAAGGAATGCAGTTGACTTTTATTCTTTGAAACTATGAAGTCCTGCCCTTCTTCTGTCAGCGTCCTGGTATTTCACCAAGCTCTTTATCTTAAGAAAACAATTCAAACAACCCGCATTTGAGAACTACATTATTGCAGCTTCAAAATGATTATCACGCAGTCTCTGTACATATACAGACACAAATGGCATTTGGGAAGTGAAGAATGGCGAGTAAGTGAGTACACACACCGGAGAAAGTCTCTAAACTTCACTACCATGAGCTCCTCTTTTGGCCTCCTGTTGCTTCCCAGGGCCGAGTAACTTGGCTTTAAGAGGCAAGCAAGAACTTCTGCTGTGACCTCATCTCTCTTCTCAGGCACGTCAAGAACGATTCTCATGCTACGATCTTTCCTCAGTGGAAGTACCTTTCAGGAGGGAAGAAAGGAACCATAGTAATAGTAGTTTTTGTCGTAGAACTTGCTGTTAAGGGACACACATCTACCTTGCTGTGCACAATAAATTGCTTTCACTTACTCCATAATAGGACAGACTTCTATTTCTTTATGCACGATCACACTCCAGCGCATTGGTTGGGAAAGAAAACAAACATAACAGCATTGTTGTATGATTACACCAGAGGGGTATACAACGTCAGTAGTATATAACTGCCAGTGTAGCAGTATAGAGGTGCCACCCTTTTGGCAATTAACGCCAGGTGGCTGCAATTAGGTGGGCTGGTTTAAAAGTGGCACGCCTCCACCAGCTCTTCCTCTAGTTTTTCCACTCCAAAAGCAGAGAAGATTTAATGTTCGAAATCCTACAATCCCTTTTCAGAACCGATCAAATGCGGATGGCAGTTAGGTTTGTGTGGGTCCCTGCCCATGTTGGAGTCGAGGGAAATGAGGAGGCGGATAAAGCAGCAAAAAGGGCGCTGAAGTGTGGGAGAAATATAGTCGATATAAAGATGAGTAAGGCAGAAGCTAAAGGGGTGATTAAGGGACAAATCAAAACGATATGGCAGAATGAATGGAATAAAGGGAGCAAAGGAAGATATCTGTTTAAAAATAAACCATTGGTTGGGAGTGTAGGAGCTGGTGGACGAAATAGAAAAGAGGAGAGGGTAATGACAAGGCTAAGAAATGGCCATACTGGTCTTAACAGTTCCCTCTATACGGTTGGGAAACATCGAAATAGAAGGTGAGAATACTGTCAAGAAGAGGAAACTGTGGACCATGTTTTGATGGCATGTCAGAGGTACGAGGCAGAGAGAGAAGTCCTGAGAAAGGGGCTAAGAGAGCTGGGAGAGGCAAATATAAGTGAAATACTGAAGAAGGGCATTAGGGACAAGTGTTGGGAACTGCTGTTGGCATATTTAGAGAATACAAGACTAACAGAATTTGAGAATTTTTCGGTTTTGATTTGGTTGAGTTCTAGTAGAGGTTTAATTTCCTTAAATCCACACTCCAGATTAGTGGGTGGCGGTAATGCACCCGAAAGTTGTTTGCCAACCGCCATAAAAAGCAAAAGAAGAAGAAGAAGAAGCTCTTCCTCTTGTGCGTCATTTCCGGGCGACTAGATGCGTGCTGCTCTGTGCTCCCGTGGCTCCAGTGGCGTATTTGCTTGGTAAATGCCAGCAACAGCCAGTGTCCTCTCCCTCCCTCCTCCTGTGTGTCCTAGAATAGAATGGACGGAGACGCTCGTCGGTGACGTCCGATGCTTCATGTGTTGTTAGTGTGAGTCGTAAAGGAAAACTTTATTAAACGAGCGATGCTAACGGTTAGTCACATGATCACCTGCGCGAAAGAGGGCAGGAAACTGAATTTCACCCTCCTGCTCTCTGCACCTCGGCCGACACACACGACCCGCCCCCCATGTCAGTCACATGCATGCCACGTTCACTGGACAAGCACACAGTAGGAAACCAGAACATCATAACATTTCCCACACAGCAGCTGACAGTGGGGTTACAGTATAAAACTTGCGGGCCGCACTAACATTACACTTTCATATTAAGGATGGGGCCACAAAATATCGTCCCGAGGGCCGCAATTGGCCCGCGGGCCGCGAGTTTGAGACCCCTGTATTAGACGATCACAGGGGATGACGGGACAAGGCAGGAAGTGAAGTTACCCGGGGACACGAGTGGCAGAAAACTACAAAATATAACATGAAGTGAACCACACCGTGACAAAGCCGACATGCGGAAATACTTAAAGTGCATCTCTTCGTCCATATTCCTCATAGGTTATAAAAAATAAATAAACGACCACAGTGTGTTAATCAAAGTTTTCAAAGACACTGAACTTGTGTCAATTCATCTGAACAGTGTAGGCATTGACATTGGGGCTGGGCAATATGGAGAAAATCAAATATCACAATAGTTTTGACCAAACACCTCAATGACTATATTGTATGGTTAACAATTGATTCATTCACAAAATATCTTCCACATTTAAATTTCTGATAAATAACCATCATAATGTGGATATAATGACTAAGTGGTTAAAGGCAAATAATAGAACAGTCCGGTAAATTCAGAAAATGACACTTTACTGTAATGCAGCCTTTGAAAACAGGAAAAGACTAAACTTACTATGTAACGATATTACGCTTCAAAATCACAATAGATATAATATTGAAATATTGCCCAGCCCTAATTGACATCTGTCTGAAAAAAATTAAACAAGCCCAAATCCAGTGCTTTCTCAAAGTCCATGTAGATCTTGAAATGAGCTGGCAGCGTTAGTGTTTCAAAGCATGTGGAGGACGTAGGAAGGGTTCCCTCAGAAATCTCCACTGTCAGTTCAGGAGGAAGCCTCTCCCAGCCAACCCAGAATGTCAGCAGCTGGGCCAGGGTACCTGATGAAGCTGAAAGTCATACAATGGATTGAAGACATTTAGTTTACTTTATTTGATCATATCTATCCATGAGACATAGAAGCATTTGTAAAGAGAAATAAGGTTTATACCTGTTTCAATGAACATCCTTAGAAAGCCAGTGATGCGGCAGGTGGTGTCAAAGTCTTCATCGTCACTGTCCTCAACTGGTCATGTGATTTTTTTTCTAGGAGCATCTTAAAGAAAACAAAAATTGTAATTTTAAAAAGGGAGAACTTATTTTGGTGAAGGACTATGCAGATCACATTCTTGGAAAATGGAAAAATAGCCAGCTCAGTCATTGAAAATAGACGTAAAATTCATCAAGTTAAGTCACAAATGTAACTCAATTACTGACTTACCTGGGGTGTGAACTGCATTTCAGCCATTTTGGGGAAAAGTGGGACAACATCTGGCCTAGATGTCAGCAGGGGCCATACCATTACATCTTTCAGTCCCTTTCTCAACTGTTTAATTTGGCGCATGGTCCTCCCACCGACCCATATTAAAACCCAAATTTGACAAAAGTTCGCACAGTAGAAAAAATGTTAATAAAAGCACAATAAAGTGCCTCATAAAATCCATTAAAACTCTAGTACTTAAACTCTCGTGTTAACATTAACAAGCCAGGGTTCAGAATACATTCTATAATTTCAACAAGTACAGCAATGAAATCTGTCACTTAACCAGCAGGAACTCACTGCATGGAGTAGAAGTTTATTATGTAGCCATCTCCGATTTGTTTTGGTGACTGCCGGAAGATCCCAAGACATGGAAAGATCTGAAACTGTGTCTTTCTGTTCTGGTGTAAGTTCTTCATGTTCAGGCTAGAATAAGGACCATACCATTTATTATATCTGCCCAAGCAATACTTTTTACATGGCTAGGTTACATACCAGTTCTATGATGCTCCTGATGTGCAGATCAGGACAGTGTTCAACAACAACAGTAGCCATTTCAGGGTCCCCATTGAACAGTACATGAATTACAGCAGGACTTAATCCTGTAACATGGGGACCGTCATGCAGAAAGGTGTGGGCCAACATCCTTCGTGCAACCCGGAAGAGGTTGCTTTCAATATGTGCCTCTGATGCTGCTGGAACAAGATGGTCAGGTTCACCCTCAAATGGCAGTGTTCGGCCCATTCCTCCTGTAAAGTACCAAGAGAGCAGGAACAATTAACCTCTTAAATACATAAAATTACATTATACAAGTGCAGTACCCGTTAAAAATGTGCCTGTTTGGAACGGGCGATTACTTGGCCTGTGGTATTACTGCTTGTAGAATTCACTTAAACCAAATTGTAGCCTACTCCAAAATGACTTGCGCTGAGTTGACATAAAAACGGCATTCAACAAAAACTATATATTAGAAAAATAGAAAAACCCAGGTGCATGTTATTAATTGCCTGTAACTGTATTATCTTATCCAACTACATCTTACAAGCGTTATCTTTCTATTGACTTTTCAGTTACACACAATCTTATAGCAACACTATTGTGATGACACATACCACTGTCTGTTTCTCTGTTTCTTTCAACTGCTCGTTGACAATCACTGCTGGAACTACTGCACTCTCAGCTGATGTTTCAGACCTCACTGGAACACTGTCACTGACTGGGGCTGTCTCACTATCATTTTCTTCCCTTTGGCCTCCCTCTTGTTCTCTTTCCTGCATGGGTGTCCTTGAAGTGAACACTATTGAAATGATGGTCATACTGGCTTATTTGTGTGCACAACACTCTAAGAGGACATATTCCCAAAGAAAATGAATATGCTACCCTTGCATTGCTTTAGGAAGTACATACCCATTGCAGCTCAATCTGTGCAGCTTCATCTCTGAAAAGGGAACCTCCTTCTGACAAGTGATGCAGGGGATGACTGGACCAGAGGCAGGACGTGAGCTCTCCTAACAAATGGCTTTTAACTAATGATTAAAAGTCACCAGTAATCTTTGTTTTGATTATGTATTAAACTTGGTCTCTATACATTTATGTACACAATCTAAGGGTAGATCCTGTTGAAGTGGACTTATGTAGATTGTAGCCTGTCCAATCATCGTCGATGGATCTTTCAGATAGGCAAGGGTGTATCCAGTGCTGGGACACTGAAGCAATGCAAGATTTTCCATTAAAGCCTCCCCCTTGTTGGAGCTTCGGAAACACTTCCATCAGTTTATTTGTTATAACCAGGGGATCGTGGTTATTCCCTGGAGAAAAAAATAAAATAAAAATCATAACTCGCGCGTAAATCAAACATCCGCGAGCAAATCTCCGTCTCGCGCGTGATATTTGCTCGCTCGCGAAAGGTGAATCTCTGCTCGCGCTTAAAGGTGTTTTCTACGCGCTCGCTGTTTTTCTTTTTGACAGTAAGGGGGCGGAGCCAGTCACCATGGTCTCTACACCTGATTGGTTAGAAACCCCGTCTTTGGATTGGCTGGAGCGATGGATTCACACAACTATAGAAGCCTATTTCCGCACTAATGTAAGGGAATAGAAAGTCAGATTCAGACTGACAGACCGGTCTAATAAGTTGGTTCCGCCTACTAACTTTTGATGGGCCAGTTTGACAGTTTTAAGTAATTCATGAAGCGTAAATGCAGCATCATGAAATGTGAAATAGTTATATATGCATTTTACATACAATGAATCAGTATTTTAATTAATTAATGACACATTTAATTACTTTTATTTATTTAATTCTAATTTTAATTAATTAATGACACATTACATTTTTTAATGGTGTGTTTATTTATTTAATTGTGGCACTTTTAGTCCTCCATACTAAACATGGATATATCTTTTCAATGTGACAAGACGCATCCTCCCAATTTTGTAGTCGGCCAGGGGGTAAGCATCATGTAGTTCTTCTGGTCCAATAAGTTCCCACTTCCTTGCCTGGCGATCATAAGCTCTACAGTGTTCAATATACCATCCACTGAGCTTCTTCACAACAAAGATCAACTTGTCTTGCAGTATCACCATTTGAATGATTTCATTGAACTCTGGCAGTCCTCCCAGTGAGCCATGGATCAAAATCATCCCACAGATGTAGTTAAGTCTATGGTTGAAGACTTCTGTCTCAGAGCACTGCGTTCCATAGTCCTTGCATCTCCACATGAAGCGTAACACTGGGGAAAACAAATAGATGGCATATCTTTTGTGGATTTAAATAATTTGGGGGGAAATGTGTTGCCAATCATTTCAACAGAAAAGTATCTCATTAAATGTGGCCAGCACTCCGAATATTTATCCAAGTATTCTTGTCTTACAGCAATAAACACATGCCTATATACACATTTAAAGGGTTTTGGTTGTTGCAAAGAGGTTAAAACAAGCACCTTTTTACTACTGCTATTTCAATGGCACTGTATAACTGCTTTCTGGCGGTATAACTTACCTTAGGTAGTCCAATAAGTTCTCTCTGAGCCTGAAGTCACCACCAAAGGTCAGTTAAAAATAAAATAAAAACATTAACATTACTATTTTCTGTTGAGTGTTAAGCTTGAGTTGGGTACAGTTTATCTATAATAAAACCTTACCCCATCCAGTAATTAACTGTTTGCATAAAGACCATAAGAGAAAACATAGCAGAAGTTGACACAAACCTCACAGCCGCTTATTAGCCCACTAACACAGCAATACTGAGCTGGGTACCACTTACCTTAATGTTTGCCTACGCGACATATAACTGTGGTGTTTTCACCGAGCTAACGTTAGCATTTACCACCACCCCCCGACCTAATTTAGTCTAAGAATCAGACCCCGCACTGCTGACAAATGTATGAACTACCGCGTCAAACACGCACACACCGGCTGATGTAACGTTAGTCTTAACAGAGACCTGGGTGCAAGTTGTATAATTAGCTTGGTAACAAGCTAATGTGCCTCCGCGCTGTACGAGAGGGGAGGTATTTACAAAGGAAAACGTGCAGGCGGCGCCAGTAAATGCGGGCTTTCCCAATTTTACGTAACATTAACATCAACCACATTTCCTCGAGGTTGTGGTGTAATCCAGAAAGTGCGACCGGGCAAACCTTGTAGCTCGAACCAGGGTAACAGCGTGGAAGTGCCACCTCCAATATGGCGCTTATCCAGATCCCCCCTCCCTTTTCCTTATGCGCTGGTCTCCCAGCAACCACAACAGGCTGCGTACATCCTCCACAGGCTCACGATCCACAACCTTATGCCCCGCACCAAGCAGGACCGCAACCCATGACGGGGGCCCCACTGTACGGTGGCTACAGCCAACCGAGAAGACAGTGGGGAGGGGGCAACCAAGGCCGAGGTAGATTTAATGGGGGGCAGTTTACATGTTGTAGCATGTTCATATTTCTAACTTGTATAATTTTGACGGAGAGCAAGATATTTTAAGTTATTTAAAGTTTATTTATTCCAGAATACCATTTCTGTCTTTGTATTTATATTTATGTTAAAATAAACATTTAGTTTTAGTGTGTTCAATAAATGTTTATTCTGTTCGGCCTGAAGTGTGTTTTGAATTTTTGGGCCCCTGTGCAATTGAGTTGGGCACCCCTGCCTTAAAGGGTTTGACAGCAACTATGTGATTGGTTTAGAGCCACAGCGCCGCCTCTGTTGGTCGTATACACCTGGGTGCAGCCAATCTCCACTGATTGGATAGTTCGGGGAGACCAGCTGAAGCATATTTACATTACGCTGGCATAAAGGGAGTCTTCCTTCTAGAACTACCGCTTAAACGCCATTGCAATCAGGACAAACTCCGTCTGAATTGACAAACATTTAATACACAGCATAATATTGAAATAGTGCAGAATCTTTGGCGATTGAACTCCATCCTAAACCGGGATAATCAAGGGGCCGTGATGCAGAGTTCTGCTTGGCAGAATCCCCCCAAAAGATGAATTTTATATGCATAAAATGAACAGTGTCTTACCTACCGCCGCCCCAGCGTCCTAAGCAAAAGAGAACATTAGTCAATATCATCACTTTAGGTTCGCTAGCCAGGAATAGACCCAGTGACTAGTAGAGCGAAAAACACCCACCAATGTGCCAAGATCGGACTGGTCACGTTAGACCCGGAGGCAACGGGTCACAAATCCGCAGGATCACATGATGAGTCACACAGGGGAGCAGCCATTTATTTTCCCGGTCTGCGGTGAAAAGGTGTCTTTTTTTGGGTCTCAGGCTCAAGAGAATCCACATACCAAAAGAGAGACCTGATGGTTGCTCAGCCTGCTTGAAGGATTTCAATGTGAACTCAAATGACATGAGGGTCCACACTTGGAAAACACCACACGGTTGCAATGTTTGTTTGTGAAAAAGTTTGGATTGGTGTCATCCATCCATCCCTTCAGCCCATTTTGTCTGTCTGGTTTCTGTCTGAACATAAGACAATTGACCCAGAGCCTCCAAATCCCTTCCCCCTTTCGCTGAAGGGGAGCTGACGTCTGTAACGCTTCCCTCACTTCAACACGCTTGTTAATGTATGTTAGTAGTGATCTCCTCTCCACTTTTCTTAAATCATCATCTCCAACTGGTATTATACTTGTTATCCTTCTCCTGTTCATCTTTTAAACTAAATTCTAGGTACATGACCAACATGACTTTCTCTTCCGACCGAAAAACAAAATTTTATTTTTTTCGTTCAAATTCACAAATCATTACTATATTCACTTTAATGTTCCATAATTATATATTTATGTAATAATGACCATCATAAACTACTGTGTGCTTTGGAATCACTGACAATCGAACTATATAGTAATAACTGGGAAACAAATAAATGTACAAAAGTACACAAAACACTTTGAGACGTCGTACTCAACCCTGGTTGAAAGCTTTCTCTTTAACATTTTAAAGCGGCTGATTCCACAATGCTTTTACATTGAAGTCAATACAACCTACATGATGTACAAGCCGTCTGTAAACCTCACTTTGCCACCATCCCTCTGTAGAGCTTTAGTCGACGTTAACAGTTCATTCTGTAGCTCAGGTTCTATCTGAGTGAGCTGAGTGAATGATTGAACCAGATACACATACTGTCCTGAGTCAAGATGCTATAGAAATACAATATTTATTGAGAGTATACATTTCCCGTCCTCTCCTCCTTTTATTAGGCAGGCGAGACCAAGTCATTGCTTCACTCACAACAAGAGGATGTGCGGGATGCAACGCCAAAGCGATTCAAATTCAACGTAGTTAGAAGCATTTCTGCAGAGTAACGTCTTTTTTAGTTTTCAGTATTTGTGTTCAATAATAAAAATACCAATCTACAGCTGCAGAGAACTAATACCGAGATACAATGGCAAATACAAGAATGAGACATTTCCCATTGGTTACATGAAAAAGTGCACGTTGCGTTGTACACGTAACACCGCGTAGCTACCGGCGCTGCACTACGCCGCGGCGCCAATGTGAAGTCCGAAATGGAAATTATTTCTTCAGCTCTTGAAGGCAAATTGTTGCTATTGTGAAATCTGAAGCCCTTTTTATTGGTCGCACATGGAGGACGAGAGGCGACCACCGGGCAGTGAGCACACAACCAGCCCCGTGTCTCGTTCCGTGGACCTGACATCACATCGCGTGGTACTGATGATCCAACCAAAAAGAGGTGCGAAGGGATTCTGTCCAAGCGTCCGTAGGTGAAGAGGAATGAGAATGTGTTGAAACAATTATTCTTATTTTTCCTTTTACTTCTCTTTGATGTGTCCAATCAGGGCATCTGGCGAGATGAATAAACAAGTTCCAAATCAGACTTACCTCCAACTACTCTTATTTACAGACACTGAGCATGCATTCTTCTTCTACATTTTCTCAAATCCTCATGCTAATTTACTGATCTGTGAATGGATTCACAAATGCTGCTACGCGTGCAAAAAGTGTCGATTGGGACACTTTGCGACGTGCATGTGGCTGCTGGAATGTTCTGAACAAAAAAAAGAACAACAACACAGTTTGGGTTGGACTCGGCTCGTGGGCTGTGCTCCGCAGAAGGAACAGCTGATTGTTTGTAGCACTAGAGGCTGTTGGTGCTGTTGGTGTGCAGACCCGAGCGGGGCTGAGCGGCCGTGCTGCTGCTGTGCTTGTTGTTGTTGTTGCTGCTGCTCCAATTCTCCTTTCCCTCCACACAGGACCTGCGCTCGAGATTGCCGGCCTTGCCTTGCTCCTCTTTCAGGAAGAGGTCCACCAGCAGGATCTTCTCCTTGTGGATCTGGAGGCTGATGTCTTTGGGGATGTCCGGTATCAGCCAGTCCACAATGTCGCTCATGAGCATCACGACGTTCTGGTGGAGATGAAGGCGGGAGAAAATGTCACATTTGTTCTTTGTTTGTAAAGTGTGTGTCTTCCGCCTCTGCTGTGATATCTTGGTGTTAAATCATAACGCTTAGGGAACATTTTAGTCAGAAGGGGAAAACTTACAGTAGATTTTTTACTTACCAAATACAGTTTGTAAAAAGAGTCGACACTATCGGTTTCCTACTTTTCTGCATGGATCATCTTACCTGGAAAACAATGACAAAAGCCAGTCGGACCGCCAGCACGGCCCAGAACTCCTTTGAGATCTCGTACGGAGTGGTTGACCAGGGGGGGTCTCTGTAGTCCTTATACCTTTTTTAGAAACAAAAATACATGTTATGATTTCATCTTACCAATAGTATTCACCGTATTCATGTGAACCCAGACTTCCACATAACCTCGGAAAGTTCCTTGATTGATTAAATCCTCCAGCACAGCATCAGGACAGAAATTCAGTCAATGTCAAATCTGAAATGTAAGCTCATACTAAAATAAAATAAAATAATCTCACTCTGGCAACCCATGTGTCCTTATGGTAAATGCACTTATTGTCACTCGCTTTGGATAAAAGCATCAGCTAAATGACTAAATGATGAAATGTAATGTAAAAAGAAACCAGCTACCAACGCGGATACCAACAATAACCCCTTTTATATATCTCCCCTGACCCCACAGACACACACGTGCACACAGACATAGGCAATGGAAGAAGTGTAATGATCCACACTACCTTCTTTTCTGATGCACGTGAGCAGAGCATATTCCTTCAAAAGTAATGTAAGTTACTATAATTTGTCCTCAAAGCAGTCAGGCGAGTAAGTTGGTTGTTTAGAGAACCTGAATATGTTGTCGGATATTTTAGAAGTTGAACCTCCACGAGTGTATCTTTTAAGTTAAAACTAGATCATAATTTGAGTTTCTGAGTAAAAACTGAGGTGATGTTTAAAGAGAAAGTGAATCTTCTAGTTTTAAAGTTTGATTTATAGTGAAACCATGGATTAAGTTAAGGCATACAATAAATCAGCATAGACTTACTGTGACGAATGCGGATGAGGTGAATTTTACAAGCTACCTTCAGACTTTGGAAACCACATCAACAATGTTAGTTATTAAGTGCAAAGGATCTTTAAACATTGGTCTCAATTAATGACACCTTGTTAGAAAATGACAGCGGTTCGCTGGTGTTTTAAACGCTAAACTTGGTTTCATAATGAACTGAGACGGATCTCCCACCTGCACATCTGGACGGGGTGGCCGAGGTACAGCGGGTCCATGGGCTCTTTGCCCTGCTGGAAGTGGCTGACGTTAAAGTAGGACAGCGTGTTGTTGACAAATCCGTGCATGGAGCCGTCGGGGCTGTACATGTACTGGTAGACCATCCGAGGGATGAAGTCTGAGGTGAAGGAGATGACAAACGCCTGGGCGGATGGGGAGGTGGTGATGAGACGGTGGGTGTGGGAGGGGGTCAGAGATTGGGGAAGGATATGAAGTTAGAATGTGCAAACGAGACAGTGTGGAACGGAACAACATACGTGTCTGGTTGAAATGAAAGCATCCACTCGTTCATCAGATGAGGCCTCTGAGAGTCGACTCTTCTCTTCCCTCAACAATGCTCACTGTTGAGCAACATTCATTCATTAGACGATAACTGTGCCTGGCTAACACACCTCCCAGGTTTCAGACTGAATTATAGGAGTCAATGTTGGATTTACCCATTAAACAGCTGGTTTGAAAAAAAACCTACCTGAAATCAGAAAAAAAAAACGGGTGTAACCAGGAGGTTACACCATGTGCTGTCGGTGGAACCAGCATGGAGCCATAATCTAACCTCCACAAGAACCAGGAGGGATGCGATTATCTGAAAACGCATATCTCATCCTTAGTTTATTGCCTTATATAAGCCTTATTGTATTGAAAGGAAACTAAGGTTGAAAATGTGGAAAAAATATTTGATTTAAGGCTGGCGCGTGTTTCTGCGTCTTTACGCATCGTCGTGTCGACGCACTCGTTTCATGGTTCTAAAAGGCCTGCGTGGTTTGCAGAGCAATTCACCTCCAGAACAACAGGCGGAGTGACGTGTTTTGTTGAAGACGTCTTTGTGTGTGGAAGTCGTTGGTTGCTTTATTTATCTCTTAGCTCTTCAGTCTGATCCGTTCTCCCGTAAACATTCTTCGTTTTAATAATGGCGGGATTGTGCTAATGAAAACGGAAATGTGAGACTTTGGAAAGGACGTAGTTAGCAGACCAATCGCAGGTTGCAGGAGGCTTGCGTAACTCTGAAAACGCAGAGGCATAAACTAGGCTTAAGCTACAAAAATGATATTTTTTCAGTTTTTTAAAAGCCAATTGATGTTCTGGGTAAAAACCTCCAGACAGAAGTGCTTTGAAGTAGCCTCATAATATCCCACGGGGTGTTTTGTTTGCCAAGTGGAACCCTCCTCATTTTGAGGTTAAGTGTCCGTCCCGAAGGACCCACGATCCTCTGATTGAAAAACGACCCTGCTCTCCCCTGAACCGCCGCCACATGTCTCTCACCGCCCTGATGATGCAGCGTTGTGGACAACCAATCCCTAATGAGCTAATAGCCGACGTGCTGATCGAGGCTCTATTGAGTGACGGTATGAGGAGGTGACGTCCTGCTCACTAAACCATGAGCTGATGGACATCCAGGACACGTGGGACTCAAAAGACTAGAGCCACAAGACGCTAGCGCTCAGTTGCATTTCAAGTTTACCATTTTACTTCCTTTAACCGGAAGGAAACCCTCCAAGTGCACTGCATGCATTACAACTTATGTGGTCTACTTACGTTAATGATGACGGCCACATTTGCTACCCCTCTTAGTAAGTTGTACCATATACCTGTAGGCACAAACATACGAATCAACATTGTTTTAACAGAGACGGAAAATGTGTGTCTGATGATCTGAACATAGCATTATAGAGATGTTTATGGGTTCCATGCTCAGGTTCTGTCTGTGTAAGAGCTACAGGATGTTCAGTAGAACCCACCAATGTCTTTGGCTCTCGCTGCCACCGGCCTTCGCAGCTCAGTCACAAACTTCTTGGCATCCAGTCGTATCTCAATGATGTTGTTGAGCAGAGCGAAGAGCGGGGCCAGGGGGAAGGACGCCACGAACAGCGTGACAAAGCCAAACTGGATGACTGAGGACACACACATTCCACAAAGCATGACAAAAGGACCTTGTGTGTGTGACCTCTGACCTTTCCTGATAACTCAGCCACTGAATACGGGAGCATTTGGTTTGTTCTTTCATTCACTGAATGGTACTGACTCATTTCCATGTATTCCGGCGTTAAGCCAGCAAACGGCTCCAGGAAGTGGTCGGTTTCGTATCTCTGCAGCTTCTTCTGTCTCTCTTCTTCCTGAAAAGCCCCTTGCTTCGACCGAATGTAGCGAATCAGCTTCTTCAGCTTGCTGAGGAACACACGCACCCACGAAATGTGAACACAACAGCGTTTTCTTCTATTTCTGAGAGTTTGTATTTGTGTTGAGCCAGGATCATCACTACTGCCGTAGTCATGGTAACCTACGGTCACCAACGTTTATTCTGTTTTTCTCGGTAAAAAAAAAGAAGCTTTTTAGATGTTTGAGACTCTGTTCCTCACATAAATGAACCAGTCACTTGTGCTTCATGATGGTCTTATTGGTATACCAGCTCAAAAGATTCCATACTCACGGTACGCCAATCTCAAAAAGGTTGTTCTGAATTAGCTGCTTTCCCAACATGGTGATGCTCAGCTGGATGCACAGCTCCATCAGACAGCCTCCGTGAGCACACTGAATAAAAAACAGAGCAAAGCACAGGAATGGTGAAGTACAGCGCGCTGCACGTGGGAGGAGGTTAAGGACGGTTGATCCGTGAGAGCACCTGGCCACGACTTCTGTTCTGAACAAGTAACACTTGCAAAGATGATCTAAATATGAAGCTCAAAGCGGGCGGAGGTAATGAATGGTCTGTGTTTATCTGTATCGGTAGGAATTTCTAACGGTATGCACACACTTTTTCTTTTTGTTTGATTTATTCACACCTCAATTGTTTTGTCATGAGTGCTTTCACACAGAACGGAAATATTCCTTCACAAAACTTTTTGTTTTTCTGCAGTAGTGGTCTTTTTTCTGGGCAGGCTGAACTTACCTCTTCCATTCTGTAGGACTCAAACACATACAGGTAGCTCCCTGGTCTGCCGACCAGTCTAGAGGGAGGATAATGAAGAGGTTTAAAAGTGATGAAAGAGTGATTGACTATATTACAACAACAAAATGACACACTCAAGATACAAAGAGACGAACCTTCCCCTGAAGAAAGCAATATAGATGATGGGGGTGAAAGCGTTGACAAACTTGAGAATGAAGGTCTTGAAGATCAGTCGTTCCTCAAAGCTCTTGTCGGTTTTAGGGACCTCTGAAAGCCAAGAGAACCTCATGCAGTGAAAAAAACGCACATAAGCTCTGACTGAAGGGGCCACACACGTCGGGTTAATACGTTGCAAAATGCAAGAGCTGGTGGACTTGATGTGACAACTTTTAGAATACGACGTGAGAGCGAGTAGAACGCAAATTGTTTAAATTTGCCTTGAAATATTCACATGTGTGGGCTGGATGTCAATTCTGGAAAAAGAGGTGAGAGCTTTTTTCACAAAGTCACAGGCATGGTAAGACCATCACAATCATCACGCATTAAGCAAGAACAGTCACTGAACAGTGAAAGTCTCATTGGGCGCTATTAAAACGTATCCTCATACAATCATGTCTTAAGAAAATAGACGTTGCTTCTTTTTGCTTGTAAGTTGGAAGCAACTTAGGACAAATCATGCAAAAAAATAAAATTGGCCACCATTGCTACGCTGATGACACCCAAATCTATGTAGCGCTATGACCAAACGACTATCGCCCCATAGATCTTCTGTGCCAGTGCATTGAGCAAATCAAAGACTGGATGTGTCAAAATTTCCTACAACTAAATGAAGACAAAACTGAGATCATTGTATTTGGTGCTAAAAAAGAAAGGTTTAAAGTAACCCAACACCTTCACTCACTGTCGCTGAAAACATCAAATAAAGCCAGAAATCTGGGGGTTATTATGGATTCAGATTTACACTTGGAGAGTCACATCAAATCAGTAACACAATCGGCCTACTACCACCTCAAAAATGTCGCACGGCTTAGAGAGCTCATGTCAGCTCAAGACTTAGAAACACTTGTACATGCCTTTATAACCAGTAGACTAGACTATTGTAATGGTCTCCTTGCAGGTCTTCCAAAAAAAACTGTCAGGCAGCTCCAGCTTGTTCAGAACGCTGCTGCTAGAGTTCTAACAAAGACCAAAAAATGTGAGCACATTACACCAATTCTTAAATCCTTACATTGGCTCCCAGTATGTCAGAGAATTCATTTCAAAATCCTACTGCTCACATATAAATCACTACATGGTTTAGGGCCAAAGTATATCACTGATATGCTTCCACTGCATAAGCCTTCAAGATCACTAAGATCTTCTGACACCATCTGTTAGTGATTCCCAGAGTAAATACAAATCATGGCAAAGCATCATTTAGTTACCACGCAACAAACAGCTGGAATAAACTTCCTGAAGATTTAAGACTTAAACTCTGACCACGTTTAAAAGAAGACTGAAAACCTTTATGTTCAGCTTCGCCTTCTGCTAAATTTTACCTACATTGCACTTTTAACCTCTGCCTTTAATTAAACAATTTAAATAAGATTTTAATTTATAATCTTATTTGCTGTTTTTAATTGTCTTTTAATTCCTGCATTTTATTTCACTTTATTGTATGAAATGTTATGATGTGAAGCACTTTGAGTCTGCCTTGTGTATGAAAAGTGCTATACAAATAAACTTGCCTTGCCTTAGTTAAGGAAAAGATTGTGGTTTATAACAACTGCTTAAGTGCCACTAGTTAATTCTGTGACAAATAAATGTGACAAAACTTCTCCATCAAATTGCAGTGCATGTATTTTTGAGGGGTATAGCTATGAACGCTGGACGACTGTCCTCATGGACATGTGACCGAGTGAACCAGTTGCTTACCTAACACGGTGAGCCATCGTGCCACAGCTCCGTACACCTCATCCAGTATGAGGATGACCACCAGGTTGATGATGGCCGCGGTGGTTTTGACCGTCAGCTGCGCGTTGCTGCGTGTGACTGGATTGGCGCTCATGTAGAGGGCAGCTTTGGTGGAGATCCGGTAAAGGATCACGCCAAACACAATGGCGAACGTAACACCGATCTGACAAGGAACGGGTCTTCAGGATGAAGGGGAAGGGAAACCGTCATTTCCAACTGGTTTTATGCAGAGAATGGCCTTCTTCTTACCATTAGCAGCATCATGACAAGGTTAGTCATGTAAGCTGGCAGGCGGTCTTGACATGTGAGCTTTTTAATCTAATAAATAAGAGATGAAAAACAAGTGTCTTAGAATTGCACAACACCAACTGTGAGGCTGTAAACAGTGCTCATAAATACACACACACACAAAGTCTTTAGAGCCTGCCATGTAATTACCTTGTGCTGTGCTTTTTGATCTTTGCTCGTAGACTTCTGCATGACCCGGAGTTCATACTCGGCCCTCGGGTGGTCCTGTGACGGTGGCACAAAACAAAAATGACAGGCACAGGCAGTGAAACGTGTTTATGGCCGAGGAAGAAGAGACTGGTCCGTCCAACAACGCTTTCACTGTATTCACACAATGGCTTCGTGAATCTGGCAACATCCGCCTGAAGGTCAGCGAATAATCGCAGCACTTCAAGAGAGCAAATGTGACCGCAGAGTAAAGGTTGATAGCAGTGGTTCATGGAACGTGGGAGTGTCATTTATCTGTAGTCAACGATGTGATTAAGCTCATATTCTACATTACTACCCTAAAAAGATGTGTCATGACTGGTGAATTAATGTAATTATCAGATATATTTCTGACATTTATCAGTAAAAACAATTTCCTCAATGTGATATTTGTCTTATTTATCTCTTGTCAACAGTTTTCTTCAGCCTTCCTTCCAGGTTCCACTCAGCGAGTCAGTCAGAGAAGCAATGTGAAGTCCTTGTGTGATCCCCCACAACCAACGAGACAGGCTTTCAAAAGATGAGAAGAGATGATTTTGGTCTCATGAACTGGCTGCTGTCATTTACCAAACAAACTGCAGCAATACACTTAAGAAATAGCATATTGCTGTTGAGTGGTTATTATAGTTTTCCATATTAAAACTTGCGTTATATTATGGTCTGCCTCATCAAGAGGCTATATACACACGCATAAGCACAAGCATGTATAGAATTGATTAATGCCATTTTAATTTTATTCTGTATAATTATTCCTTGGCTTGTTCTAATAACCAATACCTGCACTGATGGAGAAACCACTGATATGTTGTGCACCGTTGAACAAAGACTCCATTTGAAAATATCATTCATAGTAACTCTGAAGCTGTGTTGTCATGAGAAGCGGAAAGACTAAAAGAGTGAAGAGAGGATTTATGAAGGAAAGGGGATTCATCCAAACCTTCAGAGCTTCCTGTGAGAAATAAACCAAGAGACACAGAGAGAGAGAGAGGGGGGGTGTTAGTATAAACAGCAGCATCACATCCATCATCACTTCCCTTTCCCTCCATGCATGCACGTGTTGAGGAGGAATTCAACGTGGTCTGAAAATGTCTCCTGGCATACATCACTTCCTGTCCGTCGCTGGAAGGCACCGAGGGGCGAGAGTACGCCAAGTGGAAATGGCCAACGGTTCTGTTATTTGGCACCACTCACCTCCTCATCCTCAAAGCCGGTCAGGTCCCATTCGTAGTTCAGCCTCATCTGCCTCCTCTTCCAGTGCTCCATGAACATTGCAGCTTTGAACCAGAGAGAATAGAGTTAGACCGTTTGTGGACGGGAGGTACTTTCTATTATGCGCCAACTCTAAACGCTGCATTTGTGTGAGCAGGTGCATCAGGAGGACAGTAGAAATAACAGGCACATTGTTAATCTGGACTACGGGATATTGCCTTTTGCTGTCAAACGGCCTGATTCCCTGCATGACGCCTAAGCCTGCGTCAATGTGATGAGTCAATGCAACTACAAACAGAAGGTAAGAAGCACCTGATACCGAAATCTAGTCCCGCAACCACCAGGTTCCAGGTTACTCTAGGTCACATATGTCAAACTTGTGGGCCAAATCCAGCCGGCCCGCCGGATGACTTTGCTATTGTGAGAATTGCAGAAAGGTCCCCTTTACGTAAAGGGGACATACGGGAGGCTGGTTGTGCCTTTTTTTTATATCAATTTGTTTTTCACCCCCCCCCCCGTCGGCCGTGTCTTTCTGCGGTCGGGTGGTCTGGCCCGTGTTCGATGGAGGTGGGCAGTATCTGACCCCGAACCTGAAATGAGTTTCACACCCCTACTTTGTGACTGTATATTCTATTCTATTTCATTACTTTGATGGTTAAATACTGGGTCAATAAGTTGCATTGGGGAGCACAGAATTGGATTCAATTTTACAAATGGAAAAACGTTGTGTTTTTGATCAAATATCACCAACTTTAGCTCCTATTTTGCATTCCTAACAGTAACTACGGGCATCGTGGTTTAATCATGCGCCATGTATAATATTGTGTGCAATGTGTGCGTCCTCTCACCCCACAGCGCCATGAAGATGGAGAAGAAAACGGTGGCTGGGTTGTCGAACAGGTGGCTGGCCCGCGCGGTGGCACACGCCGAGCTCAGCTCCCAGTAGCTGCACACGCGGTCACACAGAGGACACATGGTGATGTTGTTCATTGTGTTGCAGATCTCCATGCTGGATAAGAGGACACACACACATCAAGCCACATGTACACAGACACATTTACTCTCACTAAGTTGAAACAAAAACGGCTCGATAATATAAAGCAAATATATTCATTTAACATTCAGTAGAGCAACAAACATTTTCCTGAATGGAACATGCATATTTTTGTAAAGAACCTTGTATTCACGGTCTGAATAAGACAATATCAAGTTTCCATCCATGAAAAATAGTATCAGATTCTTACATAGAAATTTTACATTTTATGAAGCATTTTGTCAAAAACTGTTCTTTCATTCATATGAAGTCTTCTTCAATTGAGTAGTGTCTGTCTGCAGAGCCCGGCCCTCTGCCTGGATCGCCTCTTTCCCGCTTTCTTCTTTGGCCCGTGTGAAGCCCTCAGCCAGTAATGTTCAGAAGCAGTACGACGAATAGAGGGAATAGTTGGACGAAGACCAAAGTCTGCGATCAGCTCACATGGAGGAACACCGTTAGACAGGAACCAGAGGAAGCAGAAGATGTTTTCGTGGTCAGGGACAGAAGAGGGAGTCGTGAGAGTGACCGAGCATTATGGCAGATCCAGCATGTAATAGAACATCAACAATGCTCTGTTATCTGTTAGAGAGAAACCTACCCTCAACCCTTCTGAAGAAAACAACTACAGACCGGTCTCGCTTCATCCCTTTCTGTCCAAAACCCTTGAACGTGCGACCTTTAACCAACTCTCCTCCTATCTCCACCATAACAACCTCCTTGACCCCCACCAGTCAGGCTTCAAGGCAGGCCACTCCACAGAGTCTGCTCTCCTTGCTGTCTCAGAGCAACTCCACACTGCTAGAGCCGCCTCTCTCTCCTCTGTCCTCGTCCTTCTGGACTTCTCTGCTGCATTTGACAGTCAACCACCAGATCCTTATTTCCTCCCTTCATTAACTGTCTCAGGCTCTGCTCTCTCCCTTCTCTCGTCCTACCGCGTAACCTGCCGAGGATCTGTGTCGGAACCTTGTCCTCTTACAACAGGAGTTCCTCAGGCTTCCGTCCTGGGTCCCCTTCTCTTCTCGCTCTACACCAACTCTCTCAGCGCTGTCATTCGCTCGCATGGCTTCTCCTACCACAGCTATGCAGATGACACACAACTAATTCTCTCCTTCCCTCCCTCAGACACCCAGGTGGCGGCACGGATATCTGCCTGTACTGACTGACATCTCTCAGTGGATGTCCGCCCACCATCTGAATATCAACCCCGACAAGACTGAACTACTTCTCTTTTCAGGAAAAGACTCTCCGACCCAGGACTTGACTGTCAACTTTGGCAACTCCGTGTTAACGCCCACTTTAACCACTAGGAACCTCGGCGTCACAATCAACAGCCAACTCTCCCTGACTCCCAACATTACTGCGACAACACGATCCTGTAGATACACTCTGGCTGCCCAGGTACTGATTCAGGCTCTTGTCATCTCCCGCCTGGACTACTGCAACTCCCTCCTGGCTGGTCTCCCTGCCACCGCCATTCGACCTCTGCAGCTCATCCAGAACGCAGCAGCTCGTCTGGTCTTTAACCTTCCGAAATTCTCCCACACTACTCCACTCCTCCGCTCTCTTCACTGGCTACCGGTGGCATCCAGTTCAAAACATTGGTGCTCACCTACCATGCTGTGAATGGATCGGGTCCAGTTTACATCCCGGACATGGTCAAACCCGACATCCCAACCCGCACTCTCCGCTCTGCATCTGCAAAACTGCTCGTCCCTCCCTCACTGAGAGCAAAACACTCGACCAGATCACGACTCTTTGCTGTCCTTACTCCGAAATGGTGGAACGAGCTCTCTGAAGACAACAGGACCACAGAGAGCCTTCACAGTTTGTACCCTATGGTTGAATGCACTTATTGTAAGTCGCTTTGGATAAAAGCGTCAGCTAAATGACATGTAATGTAATGTAACATGGTACGATGCCTAGATTGGACTATGATCCATTTGCCTACCGAGGGCACTACCTTGCATGAAGAGTGAAAAAGAGGAGTAAGAGGAGAAACCAGACCGGAATGATATTTATTCATGATATTTATTAGTACTGTCAATATAAACGCGATTAATGTGGCCGATTAATGCAATATTTTAACGTAGTTAACAAAACGGCCGCTAGCTGCAGTAAGATACATCAAGAAAACAAACATGACGGTGCTTTCAGGGTCCGATCGATACTGCGAGGTGCGTCCGCTCCCGCCGCCCCCCTCGCCATCCACGACTTAAATCTTTGGCTGCTCTCCAGCTTCGCCGCCTGCCAAGGGCTCCTTTTAGAATAACTTATTTCCCCGTTAAGATGGTTCAGCTACAGTAAAGAAAAAGGCACCGTCTCTCGCTCTTTAATCTCATGAAGTGCTCGGCAAGAACGACAGTTTGGTTTCTCCGACGCGACCTGAAACAAGCTCCATATCTCACGCGCTTGAGCGCCGCTCAGCATCTCGCCGTCGTAGACGAGCTTTGGCATGTTTGGCAGAGCGCCTTGAGCGCCGTATACAACCAGTATGGATCAACCGATTAACCAATCTGTTCGTTTAAATTGTTTGTGCTTCATCAATTAATGTTTCACATAACTAATGTGCCGCATCATACATATTTTTATATTAATTTCAAACTTTTCAAAATTGAAAATTAAAACCTTTTTATTTATTTATTGTAAATGACCTCTTGCGGCCGACCTGCAGTACCTTCGCGGCCCACCAGGGGGGCGCGGCCCACACTTTGGGAATCGCTGGTTTCGAATTTCCTCCGGCAAAATGCAATTTTTAGAGCATAAGGTCTCAAGATCCCACTGCGCGAATTTGAAAAGAATCAGGTTAAATCTCTGGGAGGAGATTGGTCTTTTACAACTCTAAGAAATCATGATAATAGGCCATATAGGGTGTGTGTGTGTGTGTGTGTGTTTACCTTGGTATGTTGTCATTGACCGTTGCACATCCATAAAGAAACACAATGACCCCCACTAGAGAGGCAGGAATCAGCATCTGGGTATACAGACCCAACCAGGCAAAGTACAGGCCGATTTTCTCACCAAAGTACTTCCTAACAACACAAGAAAAGAACAGTTTGCATTATATACACAGGCCTACAGTATTGGTATCAGGACACGGGAATCTGAGCTGAACTGGTTTACTTGAGGAGAAAGCAGTGATTCCGACTGTAGACAAGCCGACTGTCAAAATGAAATATCTCTCTGATCCAGGAAGTCCAACTTGTGTCACAAATGATGCTTTAAAAGGCCTATCCGATGGCAAAACTCTTATTAAAGCAGAAAAAAGCACAGTAGGATATTAAAGGGTCATGCAATATAACCCATATAACAAGTAGAACTATGTGAATACAATGAATTATGTACCCCAGTAACACATAATACAACACAATACCTTCACTCATAGACAGCAACATCTTTAATGACTTATTTTATTAGCATTTATTTGGAAAACAATATAGTAGGGTAGACCTGAAACTCATACATACAGTCAGACCTGTCCAATGAGTTTCAGAGTAAAGGTCAAGGTTGATAAACCAGTCCAACTATGACCTGTATGACCTGTAACTAAACCTACATCAACGGATGGTCCTTTACTTTTACATCCCGGCCTAAAAAATATATATTTTTTAATATATATATATATATATTTTTTTTTTCTTCAGCCTTTAAATTTAGTCTACAGCCACACTAGGCGTATTATTGTCTCATGAGCATGACATAAAACGCAACATAAAACTTGTTTACCAAATGAATAGACACGTTGTGACATCAGCCAAAAAATGCCAAATTCTCATTGCTCTATTTTTAGCTGTGATTTTACCACACAGAGAAAATTGGAAGTAAATAATATATGTCCTTACCTCACAAGTCCGATGGGCTGGTACTTGTAAAAGACACCATAGTTCGCCCACTCTTCATACAAAAGCTGAGGGTGACAATCCAAAGGGTTATGTTGGATCTTTTGCATAGCTTTATTGTACCGTTTAAACTTTTTACTTCCATTTTTGTCTTTTGGCAGAGATCCTCTTCCTCTTAGTTTCTCCCCCTGTTACATCCTACATACTTTGACTGTGTGGAAGTTCTTCAATTGTTTAATCTGTACTGTTGGTTGATTCATTTTCTTGATAATACTTCTGTGAGAACTGTATTTGTTGGGGACTATGTTCATTAGGGGATCCATGCAGATCTGGTATTTGTGGGACTAAGTGGCTCGTGCTTTTAACAACAATGGAGCTCTAGGGCACAGAAAAGAAGATAGTTCAAGCTTTGGACAAAACAAATATTTAAAGCTAGATGCTAAAGCTACAATCGCATCACCTGGAGATGGAGACAGAAGACGATGAAACGAAGGAACAACCCTGTTAGGTCTTCACTGTAGCGTAGAGGGGCTAGCGGTAGTTAACGATATTGTAAGTGATCTCCACAAGTTTAATGTAGGAATGTAATTCAATAGGTTATAGATCACCATCAAATTATCCAGAATCTCACTTGGCTTCATAGTGTTTGGTTTGTCCCTTATGGGCCAGAACCACCTTGAAGAGGACCCGCTCCATATGTAGACGTAAATGACTCATTCCAAGGGAACGAAAACACACATTAAATCCTTTTTATCAGGTGATTACAGACAAATGAAAATGTACCCAGTAATGTCATATTCAATTTTATGCCAATAGATATCCCTCAATGCTACATACTAGTACTACTACTACTACTACTACTAAAAATCGGAACATGTAGTTTAGAAACATCTTTCTCACCTTTCTATCATTGGGGACTGCGTTTTCCTCATTAATGTCTCCCTGAAAAGGAAAGAGAAACACGACCGCTGATGACTGCTGCACTTTGGGTGTGAACTTCTTTCGGTAATGCCATTGTTTCCCCTCATCTTCTAGTGTTTGCCAAAATGTGACTGATTACAAAGGATTCAAAACACAAACAAAGAAATTTGCTTGCTTGTTTTAATGGGATGAATGCATATTTTTCTGCAATTAATCGAATTTAATAATGAATTTAAAAAATGTTTTATTTTTTTAATTATTACTCCATGAATGAAAAGTGCAAAGCCATTTGGTTTACAAACACTTTACACAGACACGGTGCTTTTTAACCTTCGCAGTAGCAGTTTTGTGTAGATCTCAACTCAAACATTATTTTAATCGAATCAAATATAAAACCAAAGCAGTTTGCCACTGCCAGGGCATGAACGTTTTGTCTAGATTCTTATAGAAAAACAAGTTACCGTCGTAGTCCAGAGCCACAATCATAACATTATAACAAGTGAACATTTAGAACTAGGAACATCTTAGGTTATTGATAGGTAGACTATCTACCGTATTAAATATCTATGTTCATCAGCAGGTGTCCCTGTTAGAGTGAGATGAAGTGGTCCAGCACCAAGTACACAGCTGGGATTTAAATGTTTGTATTGGATTTCCTTTGGACACGATCAGCGGTACCTTTCTCATTTTTCCTAACCCGCCAGTTATTTTCTGTTTCGGTTCATGTGAGCTTGAAGAGCAGTCATAGCCCCGCCCCCATATTCTCTTATTGCGTGCAACGGGTGATGGCGCCCAGTAACCAGTGGTTTGAACTATGGGTGAGCAACGGACTTTCAACATTTTTTTTCAAAAGGAAAACTGTGTTTATGTGCAATAAACTAAGCGTTAATGAATTGATGCGTTGGCGCAATAATAAAACGTTACCTGGGCCAGCATGACTAAAAACACGATTTACTGTTAGCATCATTAATATTAAGGTAGTAGCACGAGGAGAACTAACGTCATGTAGAGGATAAGCTGCTGTGTAGACGCCATGACCCAGGAGACTGGTGATCCCTGTGGAGAGAAAACAAACACTTTGGTTCATGTGGGTTCTACATATTCAGACCCGCTCAGAAAATGTTACCACAACTGGGTCATTTAGGCTTGTACAAGTCTGAATTATATTACTTAACAATGTTAGACAACCTACCAGAGAAGTGTTGTAAACTACCCGTTATTGCACATGGAAGGAAGCTTATGATACCCCCAAAAAGAAGGGTAGCAAGCAACAAGTCCTTCGTTTCATGGGTACATTGACACACAGTGACTGGTGTGGGCTGGCTATGTTTCAAAAAGGTTGTCAAAGCAGAGTTAGTTCTCCTGTTCATTTTCAATGTTCATCTTTGATCTGTATTTGGTTGTAATTGCAGCAACTGCAGAAAACACACTTACGTCTCGTTAGATTTTCGCGCTTTTACTTTTTTTTGTGAGTTTTGTTTGCGCAGTGGTGTTGCCTGTTTCTCTCCCTCTGATTTGCGGTTTAGTTTAGGACTCTTTCTGTGTTGCTCGCTCTTTCTCGCTTCCTTCGTTAATCCGTGATTTATTTGCAAAAAAATGGATTTGGTGTTTTTATGCTGATAGCTACTTTAGATTCCAATAAATCACTTTTGGACGTTTACTAAATTCTTTTATTTCCTTATTCATCAAAAGTGAGGGTAGGAAAATTATTAAAATATGCAAGAATAACATCATTGAATAACGTAAAAGTGACATAAGAATGATTTGAGGTCCAGACTCACCCATACTGTACTTGGCCTTGCATTTTGTTCTTTTTAGTATTTCAAAAACCTGAAAGGAAATGATAAACAGAATTTATTCCACATGCAACAAAGATATCTATAGACAATATTCTACTGGGATATCGTAGTATAGACTAACAGAACAATGATCTTCTAATTTACAATAACAAAATAACCTGAACCAAACTCCAGCGGAAAAACGCTCTGAAAAACCTCATTCTTCCGCTCAAAATAAGAATGTTTGATATTTTATTTAAATAGTGGACGTAAATTAAAATAAGTCAACATGGAGTGCTGCAGGGATGAAACATTTATGTATGCAAACAAAAAGCAAAAGGATTTATGATTTTTCTAAAAAAAAAAATGTTTTGCAAAAAATGTTTTGTAACACATTTTTGTTTAGCAAGCTAATTGTCACAAATGAACACAAATTTCCAGTTTTTTTAAACGTAATGGGTGGGAAGAAATACTTGAGGGAGTCTGACTTTTGAAAATGCCAACTCATTGCTGTGTTTTGGTGTCACTCTGACTTCAACTTAAACAGGACACGACGAAGGATCCGATGTGATTAGTCTTGAATAAAAGGACATTTTGGTGTTTGCAGATACTTTGCAGACAATCATGAGTGAACTTACTATTGAACTCCTGGTTTTGCTGTCGAAGAAGTAGTCTTTGTCTGAGAGATCAAACCTGTTTGTTAAAAACACACTTGTTAAATGTATACTTAAGTTTAGACAAGCTACTATTGCGTACCACAGTAAAAATGTACTTTTTTAAAAGAACTGATGCTCTTCACAATTTGGTGGATTGACAAATACATTAGCCTACAAAGATACAACTTTATTCCATGAAAGCGTTAGAGATGCACTTACAGGTGCTGTTTCTCTCTGGAGAAAGTGTGTGACAGGTGTTTGATGTTCTTCGGTTGGTGTTCCTCAACTTGAGGGTGGAGAGGTTCAACGACTTTACTGACAAGGGAGCTAATCTTCTCCACCACACCGCGTAACTGCTTGACTTCATACACCTAGAAACGTAAGGGTGCAAATAGGGTGTAAAAACTCACGGATCTCGGATTGGATGAGCACTCAGCTTTCAGTAATCCCCTTTTCACGTTATTGTATCACCAATACAAATTTAATGTCTATCATCCTTTTGCATCATTTTGTTGTTTTTGTATTTTGTTCATGTACATATTATAATTTTTTTCTCTACCATCCCAAAATTAATTTATGCTGCTCTGAAGTCAGTGTAAACCAAAATAGACCCAAATATTATTCCTTTACTTTGTTATAATAATTTATCGTCATGTATTGTATTATAAGATACAATTTAGAGATTTTTGGGAAATCCTGTCATTGGTAGTTTCAATGATATTATTCATTACATACTACCAAGAGCTATTATTAGGTTGTTAAACTGCTCGGGGAACTGCTAACAGGGAAAATAAGTTGTTCTAAAAGGAGCCGAAGATTTAAGGCGTGGATGGCGAGGGGGGCGTCGGGAGCGGACGCACCTCGCAGCATCGATCGGACCCTGAAAGCACCGTCTCCATCTTACTGTCAGAAAGAACAGCAGCGAGCGCGTAGAAAACTCCTTCGAATGCGAGCAGAGATTCTCCTCGCGAGCAACGAAGTTCACGTCTCGCAAGCGAGCAAAAACCTCGCGGAGACGGACTTTTGCTCGCGGATGTTTGATTTTGGTTAAATTCTTAAGGTCATTTAATTATCCCTAGTTTATGTTTTGATCAGAGTTGTGATTACAGGTTTTCGGTGGGCCGCGAAAGATTTTCAGATTTCAAAGTGGGCCGCGGCGTTCTTGAGTTTGGGAACCGCTGGTCTAACAAATATAAAAATGTTCACCTTCATGGCCTGAACCTGAATCAACAGCATCACTCCCTTCACAGCCAAGTCTGGAAAGAATCTTATGGAAACATGTTGAAAACTATCCTTATGGGTACAATTATGTGAGCACCCTCAGCATAGACACATAATAATCAATTTGTTCAAGAGCACCTTTCATGCTGAAGCACCAAATCCTTTTCAGATTAAAGATGTTACAGAATTAAAATTGCTCTTACATTACTCTAAAGTATGGATTTCAGCAGTTATTTAAATCATTCAGTCCATGAACTACTGAAAATACTACCAGTCAAGGACGACGTATCAGTTAACTTTAACGTTACATGCTGTTTCTTTTTGAAAATAAATCTCTCTAAATAAATGTTCAACAGGCACATACTTCTGTTTGTTATATTCACAGTGGCCTTTTCACACTTCTACGTTCTGCACAAACTAGGCTCTATACAAGCATAAGGTCTCTTTTTAAAATGTGATGCCAACATGGGGTCACCGACTAACTAGGAAAACAATGACTGTACTGCATAGTAGTGATCGTTCGTGAACGATTCGTTCATTTTGACTGAATCCTTACAAGGACTCGAGAGTAACGAGTCCTCTCAAGGACATTCGTTCATTTTCTCGTGGCCGCATATTGGGACTGTTGCATAGTCTCAGTCAAGGAAACAGAAATGATTCGTTCAAACCCGAGTGGGTTTTTCGGGTACGGGTCTTTGGATCCTTTTTCATGTGACCTGCAAAGGCTCAGAAGAGGAAACCGAAAGGATTTGTTTACCTCGTTCACTTTCGCGTGATTAGCTTCAGCAAGACGTGAATGATATTTGTTCACAAATAATAATTACAGGTTTCGTTATTTTAGCTTTTTTTGTACTTTACTTAGTCAGTGCAGCGTAATTGTTTCGATAATTAAATGCTAGCGTGATAATAAATGACCATTTCAAACCATCCAAACTGTCATAACGAATTATTTTAATGCAGGAATTTCTTTTAAATTAGTATCTTCTGTCTTACATGAAAGAACCCACATGAGAATATGATACGTATTTGCAGTGGCCGTATTTGGGCCAGGGAATTGGCTATTATATTCGGATCGTAAAATTATTCAAATTTTCCGAATACTTTAGAGTAATCCGAACTTCCCATCACTACTGCATAGTTACATTATACACATACATAAAGACAGAAGCAAAGTTAGGGTACTTTGAATATTGTTGAGAAACAAAGTGTCTCCTTTATTCTTTACCCGGGACAAAAAAGAAAACGAGACAGTGAGTCTTACCTTCTTGGTGGGCATCTTCAGCTTCATCAACTCAGCCTCTCGACAGAGGATGTTCCACGGAGCATGAATCTTGACAAAGCTCACCCCGGAAATCTTGGTCTAAGAGACACAGACAGCAAACTACCCCTTAATGCACTTTATGTCATTGGAAATACAAAAGGGAAACCTTCTGAAATGGATTAAATGTCAAAAATCTGGAAAAAGACACACCAGGTGGGGCAAGCAAGACCGTAATCCATGTGGACTATCACTGGAAAAGGTTCTACAGTCCCCCTTTCTGTTGGAGCGTATGTCTTCACTGCCAACGTTATTGTCACAGCCACATTGTCAGATGTTGAGCAGATAAAAGGATCGGTGATTCGATCTCGAAGGTAACTACTGTAACCAGCGAAATTATAAATAGTAAGTAAATAGCTGTTTTTCAGCACAAAATAGTTGTAGCCACCAAGCGTTGTGTATCGCATTTCTAGAGAAAAATAGTCCCTGTACGTGCATGTAAACAGCAACGGGTCCCATCTCATTCATTCACATCGCTCATGACGTCCGCCATAATTGTCCAGTTGCAAAAGCTCGCATTGCCCGAAACTGATCATTTGTGGGATTTCCAGGTTTCACAGTTTGTTTTTTTCTATAGTTTTGGGGTCATTTGGAAAGACTCAATATCTCCTTGAGTTCGGTTAAGTGTAATTCTAGATTCTTGCAAGCTGTAATATTGTGGAAGCATTTCAGACATTGTTGAAAATAGGCAGCCTTGTGTTAAACTCTGCTGTGTGTTTTAATAAAAATATGGATATCCAGCACCAGTGTATCAATACATTATTAGGAGATGAATTAATAGCAGAGGTGTCAAACGTATTCACATTCATTACTCAAGTAGAAGTACAGATACTGGGGTTTATAAAGACTCCTATAGAAGTTGAAGTATCGACTCAAGCGTTTTACTTAAGTAAAAGTATAAAAGTACTGGTTTCAAAACTACTTAAAGTATAAAAGTAAAAGTAATGTAAGAAATTCCATTAAGGACAAACTCTTAACGCGTAACCTCGCACACACAACACGTCAGTCCGTTACAATGTGATCACAAGGTGCCTGCAGATCACGTGACCTGCCGTTGGGATGGTGGAAACAACAACAACAACAACAAATGACTCTGACTTAAACAGATAAAACCAAAACCCATTTTCCAGTGACATGAGTCACACACACGTTGTTCGCATTGATGAGGTAGACTGCAGTGTCTCCTCAGGTTTAACCTTGCGCCCAGTTTCAGGAAAATAAGAATCAAGGCCTTCCATGAAGAGACTACCTCAGGTCAGCCCTGCTGTGCAGGGCCTTATTTTCTATTTATATGCTGGCATCAGGACATCTTATACATAGGCAGAATATCACTTACACACTACAGTTTTACGCCCATATGTATACACTAATATATCTGAGCTGCAACCCTGCAAGTGGATGTCTGCTAACTTCTTAGTTAGCTGTGTCGCTACTAAAAAAGGCTTCTTGTGAAAGTGCTTCACCGGTAGTGAATTACCAGCATTTCCTCTTCAATCTATCGTCTGATCAACTTCCTGTACACATGTGTTCATCACTCTACATGCAAAGCCAGATTTCCCTAAAAAAAGAACTCCTCTACCACCTGAGTGATAGTTTACCTTGGTGGACGCACAAGGGACATGGATAAGACAAGGGGAGGCAAGAGGACAAGAGATCTCCGTGAGAGACGGATGAGAAGGAGGAGGAGAGGTTTATGGAACCTTTGCAAGGACGTAGCAGATGTCACATCCTGAAGGCCTGCATATTGTCCGTCACCTGTTCCTCTGTCCTGATGAGACAAGCTTCCTAAAAATCTCCAAACACAGGAAGTCTGGAGGGAACCCAAATGTGTTTGAAAGAGCAATGTCCAAACCTCCTCTGCAATGCTTCAAATGGTTCTCACAACATCTTTTTGCCAGCACCACATTTTTTTAAAGGCGGTGGAAAACACATCAAACTGTATTTGATGCAAAAAAAAAAATCCTTAGAAACACCTTGTAAGCCATATCTCCAACGATATGTTTAGAATGCAAAAGAGTAAAAGTATATTAGACGCCTCCAGCAGTAATTTAGTCAGTGTGCAGAATACGGTGGTCCCAGACCCCTTGATTCAAGTTGCCTCAATGGCAACATTTGAGTATAGTGCTCAGCTGTTGTCTGTGTTACAAAGAGAAACCTTCAGTTTTATGAATCAGAAGAAATTCTGAAGTCAAGCCAAGTAGAAGTGCAACGGATCATAAAACTCATTTTTTTAATACTGTTTATTTTTAAAATGATAATAAAGATTATAGTTTTACCCCCAATGATGCACAACCTAAGTGACAACCTTAAGTTATTAAGTTAACAAGTTAAGAAAACAACAGTAACATGACATTGATTTGGTTTCCCACCCCCACCAAAGCGAGTGGGGGGACTCTGAGGTCCTTAATCAATACAGATGCGGTTAAAAAGTTGAAACGGGATATTTGTGAGATTCCAACAGCTGTGTATGCAGGTTACGCTTCACCACAAGCCACAGAAATAGACTGGAAGCTAGGGGGTCTCAAAGAGACTAAAAAGGACACCGTCACCCACCCCAACCCCCCTATCTCTGGTAATATATTTAAGTGTCTGGTCCAGGAGACGGGAAAAGTGTCAATAAAACGCTTCTAAAAATGTTTTTGTGGACGGTTATTGGGGCTCCTCAAATGTCATATTTCCACTTCCAACTTATGCAGAATGCACATGCTGTCCCAGGAGACTGAAAACATAGAAATACATTGTGACAATACCCCAACTAAACTGTGGCAGCCTGCCGTTCTCTAATTTGTCCCAGTCCATTCTCATATTGGAGCAGAAATAGTTCCCTACTTCTCAAATAGGTTGGCCAAGTGGCCCCTGTCTGTTGAATTTCCTCCACATTATGTTGCCAGGTGAAACTAATTTCAACTACTTTATAATAGAAATTGAGTTGCTTACTTGGGCCCATTCCACCAAACTCGGTTTTCCATAGAATGTGCCTGTTATTTAGAGTCCAAATGGTAATTTTAACTAATGGTAAATGTAAAAGTGATATCTTCTACCTTATATCATATCCATAAAGTATCTTGGTTTCCTCTCTGCATATTTAGTGTTTGACTGATTGTGGTCGTCCGTCTGATCATTTTGCTTTGCAGTTCAGACAAACATGCTTTTTATTCCCTACACAACATCACGGTGGTCACACCCGATCATCCCTCCCAGCCCCCTCCCTTTCATTACAGACACTATCAAGTACAGCTCTTATGTGAAGGGGAGAAGGCGTAACAAAATAATAATAATACATTTTATTTGCATAGCGCTTTTCATAACACTCAAAGGCACTTTACATTAAAATCATCAAATCGGAAAAAAAGCTGTACATTAAAAACATAGATCACACTCCACATGCACATACTTTTTTTTTTTTTTACATTTTTATCTTTTATTCATTCATTTTTAAACTAACCCATAGCCTTACTTTGTATTATATTTTTGTTATATGTTGTCTCACAGTCTGGTGTTATGCACCAACCACCAAGTCAAATTCCTTGAGTGTCTGACATATTTTGGTAATAAATGTTTCCTGATATGAATAAAGAAGTAAACTCACCTCCTCGTCTTTCTCCAGCTCCAACCCCATGTCCCTCAGTTTCCCCTCAAACTCCTCCCTGCGGAGAATCTTTTGATCCTCGTGGCCATTGAGGGTCTCTGCTGGACAGCCCAGCTCCACGTCGACCCCCGAAGGCTCCTTTGCCCTTTGTCCTTGGTGCTGTGGGATGTGCCGCTCGCGGCTCTGGGGGCCGCGCCGGAGGCTGCGGGCCACGGCGTTTTCGGTCAGCAGGTGGGTCGCCTGTCGGCCGGAGCGCCCCGAGGACGGCTTCTTGGAGGGGTAGCTGAGGACGTAGTCCACGCGCCGCTGACCGTCCAGGAAGAAGAGGCCGTGTTGGCACAGCGAGCTCTCCTGGGGGGTTAGGGCCTTCAGCAGCTGAGTCAGAAGGGGGGGGAGAGATAAAGAGTTGGCAGCCAAGATGCTTCCCTGAGGAGGCTTCATGTCTATAATATTGACATTGAGTTATAGCGGATCTAGAGGTGTCACAATATTCTACAGAAAATATCCGTAAATATACTGTTGATCTATTTTGATATATTTTCTGATACTCTTGAATGTTTATTATTCCCGCAACCATATTAGAAGACTATATGATATTGTGGCCTTTTAGGGGGACATCAAAAAAATATTTTTAACTAAATTGTCAGTTTCATTAATTTTTTTATTTTTTAACCAAGCCCTCAATAGTATTTGAAATAAGAGAAAAACATTTTTTTGTGTTCAAAGTCTGATCAAATGTTCTCATTGGGGGATTTTCTGGAATGTTCTCATTGTTCAGGTTGACCCGGACAATGACCCTGTAAGAGGACTGTTTCACTCCGAACTAAACTCAAGAGTTGGCAGCTGTGAAATAGGGCGTCATAGATATGGGTCCCTCTGTCTATTTACACACACAGAGCAACATCAGTTGTAATGTTTCCGGCCATTGGATGGATGTACATATGTATTTTTTGCATGTACAGCGGACCCGACAAACATCTGTCAGCGGCTTGGAGGTTCTTCAGCAACTGGATTGTGTCAAACAAACAACCTTCCATACCTAACGTCAGTAACTTAACCCCGGTTGCCTTAAGTGACCCGAACGTAAATCTAAGCCATTAAAAAGTGATGCTAAGGGGGCGGGACTAAGCCTCCATATGGCACTACCCGGAAATGAGGGGTTAGAATCAATGCTCCGCTTCGTTCACAAGCTGCTTGTCTGCTTGCTGTTCGCTGCTGGGCAGACAGCGTACAATAGTCTCCTTCACGTCGGCTGCTGAACAGTGCTAATGCTATGTTCACATCAAACCCTGAGCAGATCAAAATCAAACTTTCATTTGTTCTTGCAGATTTTAACAAACTAATCCAAACCGTTCAGCCTGTGCAAGCTCAGAGGGCTTAACAGCCTGTACACATGTGACATCCTCTATCCCGAAACCCTCACATCGGCACAGGAACAACTCCCCAAAAAATGAAAAACACTTCAATTTGGAAAAAAAGGGAAGATTGACCTCAGGGAGAACGAGAGGATCCCTCTCCCGGGATGGACCGACTACAATGTACAGAATGAACAATATAAAAGATGCACAATACATACGACAGAAATTATTCAAATATTGCGAGTAGTAAGCCAGCTGTACCGCAGGACCACTCCAGGGACAACCACCATCAGATGGAACCACCATCAGATAGAACCACCATCAGATGGAACCACCATCAGACGGAACCACCATCAGATAGAAACATCATCAGATGTAACCACCATCAGATGGAACCACCATCAGATGGAACCACCATCAGACAGAACCACCATCAGACGGAACCACCATCAGATGGAATCACCATCAGATAGAAACATAATCAGATGTAACCACCATCGGATGGAACCACCATCGGATGGAACCACCATCAGATAGAAACATAATCAGATGTAACCACCATCGGATGGAACCACCATCGGATGGAACCACCATCAGATAGAACCACCATCAGACGGAACCACCATCAGATGGAATCACCATCAGATAGAAACATCATCAGATGTAACCACCATCAGATGTAACCACCATCAGACGGAACCACCATCAGACAGAACCACCATCAGACGGAACCACCATCAGATAGAAACATCATCCACAAAAACATGAGAAAGAAGCCCACAAAGAATGGATACAATGAATTATGGGAAATTGTTCAGCTGAAGATGTCTGGAGGTCATCCGTAGGTCAACTGAAGGCTCTTTGTGGATTCCATGAATTATGGATTTTAACTTCTTAAGACGCTTAAATCTGCCGGTGAAGTTTACGTTTGGATTAACCCTTATTTTCCCTTCTGCTTTGTGGGAAAACATCTATATGATTTCTATAATTTAGATGCATGGATCCGAATGATGGTTTTGGGAGTTTGGGGGGGCAGTCCTGTGGCCATCAGTCTGTGACCCGTCCCTGTACATTCTATATGAGACATAAATAGTGTGTGAATTATGAGCTGCGCCATACAGTATTTCTCCCTATGACGTCTACTCATAAGCCTCTGGAAAGGGGAACACCCAGTTTATACTTTAATATCCGTTTAGTACCTTGTCCCTAGGGGGGTTCTAGCTGGTCCCCATGTGGGATCCAGTTCACAGTTGGCCAAATACGTCGTCATTCACAAAGAAGATTATTTTAGAGTGTGAAAAAAGACCTGCTTAGATTTCTCAGGACATAAAGCTGCTATTCATTTTACAGAAACACTTAATATATTGCAGCTATATTTCCTTTTTCCTTCACAATGACCCTTGAGGTGGGAAACTTCTGTTCCCTTAACTAATTCAGCTAGAAGAGAAAAGAAAACCAATAATCCATCTAATAAAACCAATGCTCATCTGTCTAGAATTGTGTGCTTAAAAAAGATCTAAATTGACTATTATTTATAGTTATTTATAGTATTTATTTAAAAATAGTTTTATTTACTTGTCTGAGGTCAAAACATAGAAAGAAGAAAACAAGTCGTTGAAGTAGATCCAAATGATCGTATCTAATTTAAAGTGAATACTGACCACCGATACTTTATCTTTTAAGCCAGTAAGAGAAGAATTCTGATGTTGTTTTGTTTTTATGACTCAAATTATACCACAGCAATGATTAAAACAAGTCAAAAAGTCCATTGATTGCCAAAAGAAAGTCCCGACTGTAATGTTACAGAGCTGTCCAATTAGTGTCATGACGTCTGCAGGTAAATGTGTCATGGATGTATAACACTGCGAAATGTGATAGAAGGAATAACTTACTTTTGATACCAGGAGATAAGTAAGGCAAAATAACAATTCGACAGTGTAACAGTTTATTAGTCTAGTAACACTGTTGCTAACCATTACTGTATAGCATTGGTATATTTGTATACATATACATCTTTTCACAGATAAAACAGGGACAGAAAACATCCCCCACATCTTTTTATGTCATAACAAAAGAAGAGAAATGTTTTTTGTTCCGCAGTTGTTGGTTTGTTGGCGCGCACACTGTGATGTTTCACGAAGGGAGTCCCAGGTCTCCTTCATTTTTATGAGCCCTCTGCTGCGCGGACCACCAAAGAAGTCCCATATTTTAGCTGCAGTTAAGTGCAGGGAGACGTCTCCCGTCAGTGAGCACAATGACCTTTTTGCTTTTGATCTTCCTCATGGGTGAAGGCAGCGATGGAGGGCCAGGGTGCGACGTCAGCGGGTCACGTACGTCACGTTTACTGCTTGCCGTTTGTGAGTAGAAGGCAGCTGGCATCTGAGATGTGGCGCATGAAAGTGCTTCAGTAGTATGTGTTGTACTGCCTGTGCAACGGTGCAAAGTCGAACTCTGGACCAGAAAATGAGCAAATCCCTGAAATATTGTGTCCTTTGGCCTCAACGTTTTATCAAATCCAAACATTTCTCTAAGGCCTATAAATATCTATTAATGTTTTTGGGGGGTAAACATGACTGGGATATCATGTTTCTTTTTAAATTGTTATTGTTTTTTATCCTGAAATAAAAAAATACTACCATCCCAAATCACAGTATACTTGATGTCTCCTGGGTATTTGTGACGGGTCCACAACTGTCCCTGAAAAGACGTCTTTTCGATGGTCGGGTTCCTTCTGTCACACTCACCTTAAACTTGCCGTGGAAGATGACGTCTTGTAGAAAGTGCGGGGCCTGTAGCTCCGACCCGGGGGTCGGAGGGAGGTCGCCTCTCCCATCTGCTTCCTCGGCCATCGTCCAGGTGGAAAGCGGAGACGGCGGGGAGATGTTTCCACACAAAGTAGTCCGCCTTGTGCTTCTCCTCCCGCCTCCTCTCCGCCTGTGTCTTCTGTCACAGACGTTCTATGATATCACCTGGCGTGAAGAGGCCCCTCCCCCTCTCCTCTTCTCTCCTCCTCCTGATCTTCCAGCGACCTGCCACTTCCCGGTGGCTCTGCTGGTCGTCTCCCGTTAAAAGCCCCCGCGCGTTCGCGGCCAGAGGCAAACCGCCGCCTTGTTACTTGAGAAGCTGCCCGAGAGCCAAGATCTAAACTTAGACAACGATAAAACCCTGATGAACACGAGGCGTCCTCCCTCTCTCCCTCCCGTCTCTACGGGACCACCCCCCCCCCCACACACACACCCAACCTCTGCGTCCGCTCTGCAAGTTACAAGAAAGGACAACATGGCGCAGACATTCCCAAACCGCTCCCTCATACGGCTGGTCAACACAAGTATGTCCGTGTGTGCTACGTGACACGAGGCTGCAGACTGAAGGGAACCAAAGCTCAGCTCTGAGGACCCGTAGTGATCCAGTGACAGGCAGCAGAAGAGGCACAGCCAGGAAAACACCCCCAACGTGGGGGGACAACGGGGGGGGACAGAAGCTTTGCGCTCTACTCGCCACACATGAAACCCACAGCAACAAAACTGCTTCTTCGCCAGATGGTTATGCAGTCAGTAGTGGGACGCTGTGCGTGCAGATCAGCCCAATTCCTCGTTATGCTTGCATGTATGTGTGTATGCATGTGCGTATGCATGTATGCATGTGCGTATGCATGTATGCATGAGTGTATGCGTGTATGCATGTGCGTATGCATGCATGCATGAGTGTATGCGTGTATGCACTGGGCGGCACGGTGTTACTTGGTACTGTTGCCTCACAGAAAGAAGCTCTTGGGTCCGTCTGCTTTATTTGTGAAGTGAGCATGTTCTGCCGCCAGGTTCTCTCCGGATGCTTCCTTGTGTGAGTGGAGAGCGAGTGTGTGTCCGTCTCTGCAACCAACTAAGGATAAGCGGCACATAAAATGAACAGAAATGTTGTTGAATCGGTGAATCACACCTTTTTGTACATATTTCTGTTTGCATCACACTATTCCTCAATGGCCGACTCATCACTTCTCCTGAGCGACTGTTAGCGTGCTTCGGTAAAGCCATCGTACGCACGTGTTAATGTGCGTTTCGGGGGTTAAAGGTCAGTTTCAGAGCACCGTCTTACCGGAATACAAACATCCCACAGGCGAGTCCTCTTGAACTATCGTCCCCCGTGTGTAACCAACTCGACAACGCCAGACTGCTTCGACACAACGGTCTGTTCTGTGTCTGTTGTTATCGCGGTTTGCTTTTCTCTGTGAGCGAATGCTGCGTTCAACAAGGTCACGGCAACAAAACGAGGAGGGAACGAGATCTCCTGATTGCGTGTTTTTGGTCCTGTACTTGGGAGACGCCACAGTAGCTCGTATTATTTTCCTCTCAACCAAACCAATTCACCGCCGGAAATAAAAGAGCACATTTGTTTTTAATCGGTCCGTTGTAGTTGTTTCGTCCCTCTTCGTGGTCTTGTTTCTCTGCTCCGTGTCTCTTTGGAATTGTTTTTATGTTAATGTAGTTATTTTCAATTTGCCCTTTTTTGAGTCTCCTTGCCATTTGTCCCGTAGGCCCGTCCAGCAATCCGTCCGCGTCCATATTTCCGGACAGCGTGGGACGCACTGACGGCTCCTGTGGTTTCCAACACCGACATTCGGCAATTGTCTGCCTGTGTTTTCACGGTGACAGCGGAGAGAGCGAGAGATGGGCGGGAAATGTGGGGCACGAGAAAAGGGGAATGACATGCAGTCAACTGTCCTCTACTCTGCAGCTGCATAAGGAATGTTTAGGACGGACGTCCTCCAGGATGCATCTGTGTGGATGAGGGGACGTTTTCTTCCCACTGATGCATAAAACTGCATGAATGTATATGAACACGGTACAGTCCGAGTAAGTGACTTTATTGCAGCAATTGTTAGCTTTAAAAATGGAGGGCGGGAAATCTGTGAACTCTTTCCTCAAGTATGTTAAAAAGTGACTAAAACACAAAGCTCCAAGTGAATTCTGGGTCTATATTTCTCTTTGAAGCTGTTCCAGGAAACTGTCCCTTCTTGGCGATTGTTTACTTTGTGAGAACCGAGATCCAGAAACTTTCTGCACAACCTCTTATTCCTGACACTTCAGCCCCCGAATGCTTACGTAACAGCAGCAGCAACATCCGCACCCCGGTGTATTTTTAGACTTTCAGAGTTAAAAACAATATACAGGGAACGGAGCAAAAGGAAAGCAGGGACCTTGTAGAGCACACGGAGTCGAGCTCCCGGGGGGCCTCATGTGTCGGACTCGATGCTGGGAGCAAGACGCTGGGGTCGAAGGTCGGTCCTCCGAGGAAAGCGAAGGAAGTGGTGTTTGTGTTCACATACTGTGAACTCAGCGTTCACAACAGCAGTGGCCCGAGCTCTGTGCAGCCCAGTGAAATTAAGTGGGTTAAGAATAATCGGGCTCTCACAAGCTGGTGGTGACACGTCCCCCCGTCCTCCGTTTGGGATGCTTTACCGAAACCTCAAACAACAAGGGTTACTTACTACGTGATAATAATAATAATATATACACACACATATAGAGAGAGAGGAGCACTGGCCTGTGATCTGTGGTCTCTCACTCGGGCCTGTTGAGTGGGAGCAGCTGTCCTGCGCTCCACTGAAGAAGTGCTCCGTCTTTTCACTCCGTTGGACGTGAGTGGAAGCTCATGAAGGACATCCGGTAGTTGTGGCTGAAAAAGTGCCAACAAGCCGGACTACTTCCCATGCGATAACGTGTTGAAGCACTTACCCTCAAAATAAATCACATTTTTGTGGCTGAATGTTCACAAAAACATTTCTAACAATTGATCTAAATTCCAGAGATGTACGAGAGCAGCTAAATGACAAAGAGGGAGGCAGAAAAGCAACCGCTCAAACCTTCAGCGCCGAGTGAATCAGAAGGCTTAGCAACCATTTCGTTTTTGGAAAACACAAAAAAGCGATTCCAAAGAGGAGCCGACTGGAAGGGTGGGCCGACCTTTTCACCCACAGGGGCCGAGTGCTTGTGTGAGCTAACATAAATGAAAAGTAAGTCACAACATGATCAATACATGAAAGGATTTGGCTTTTAACAATACATTTTTAAGTCAATTTAAGAAATTTCTGACTTAAACAGTACAAAAATATGTCGTAACGACCAATTACCTCACTTTATTATCTACTTACTTGATTAAAGTTGACTACGGTTTGCTACAATTTACGTGAAGAAGTATCAATCATTTCAAATGTAAATGACCGTTGTTAAACATCCAAATCAGAACCACGTAAAATGTATATACAGTCACCAAATCTTCAGATCTCCTTTTTGTATGAAAACAAATGCAATTAATTCATTTTTGGTTTCATGACCAGTTTCTTTCCTCTTGTGTCTGCCCTCCTACACCTGCCCTCCTACACCTGCCCTCCTACACCTGCCCTCCTACACCTGCCCTCCTACACCCGTCTGGTGGCCCAGACTGTTTAACTTCTGGCTTCAGAACCCTGCAATGAGTTCATTATTTTAGATGTGTAGGTCCGCGTGGATCTCTGCTACCGACCGTCCGGCGAACAGCCCCGAGCTGTTAAACGGGTCTTCATCTGCACGCACATCTGTCTCTGAAGGGCCGCGGCTTCAGCCTGCTAACACTTTAGCTGAGCTAAACTAAGGAAGCGCGCACTCAAACTCGCCGGAGCGTGAAATAGTCGCCGCGGTGCGTAGCCTGTTTACGTGAACCACCGCTGCACCGATGTGCTGTAATGACACTGTAATAACACTGTAATAACCGCTGTTACGCTACAATACAAAATGTAGAGCGAGATATAGAATTAACGTTACACTCAAAGTGGCTCATAGGAGAAACTGCTTTACTCTCCACAGGCGAATTCTACCCGCGGGTGGGGGGGGGGGGTGATAATGTCAATGTTTAGTTTTATATTTGGTAAAGGTTTGGCGGGCCGGATTAAACAGCCCAACGGGCCGAAGGCGGCCCATTGGGCCGTACTTTGCCCATGTCTGGTCTGCAGGGAGCGTCTGGAGGACATCGCAGGACGTCAGGCTGATCCCGCGGTGCAAACAGGTTAAAAGACGAAGCTGCAGATCGCAGTCTGGCAGTGAACTGTCACATCACCTGGAGATCAAAACAGAAGACCGGTAGGTCATCATAGGGCTAACGGGCCCCTGTGCAGGGGCCGGCCATTCCAAAGCCACACAGCTGGATCTCCAGCCTGGTACCAACGTGGCCCTGCGAGGTGTTTGTCCACTGTACACGTCATGGCCACTTTCAGTGCACACAGATTGAAGATGAGAGCGAGTCGCGGTATCAGGACGCTCTCCAAGGTGCTGATCCTGCTGCCGGGAGTTCTCCTGGATGCTGCCAGCCAATGACCTTTCTTTTGTAACCATTGACTTATGTTCCTACAGCCACAAAAGTACATATTCTGAAATCGGTTGGTCTGGCAATCTCAGTACCGCCGTCGAAGGCGCCCTTTCCAAAGAAGTGAAGGAGGGTCAGCAGTAAAATCCTTCGTGTCAGTGAAATAGTGTCAGAAGGCTTAACGCGTCCGTCAGTAAGCGCCGATCGCCTTCACTCTGATGGCCGCGGGACACGTTTCACCGTCAATGGTTGGAAACAAGAAGGTGTCGGAATACAGAAGTTCGTATTAATTTGCTGAGCTGAATAGCAATAAACAAATTAAAAAAAAATCTATTCTCAGTGCAGGAAGAGGCAGAAGGCCGATTTGGCCCTTTTGAAGCCTCCACTTAAATAATATTACAATAACATGTTACAGAGAACACGTGGAAATGCTACAGATGGTCCTGATGACATCACGTCACATGTCATTTAGCGGACGCTTTCATCCAAAGCGACTTACAATAGGTGCATTCAACCACAGGGATACAAAGAAAGAAAGTGCAGTTTAATCAAATAAGATGTAGTCGAGGTCGATTCTGAAGAGGTGTGTCTGTAGTTCGCGGCGGATGATGCGAAGGCGCTCTGCGGTCCTGCGGTTTGACACCTTCTTGCGCACGGTTGACCTTTGACCCCTTCCGTCCCGCCAATAGACAATGAAGAGATACAGCTCCGAGTCAGTTACGGCAAACCGCAAGGATTTTCTTTGTTTATGGTGACGCTGTCGGCCATGTTGTTGACATTCAAGTGGTTGAACTCATCCGTGCTGTGTTTGTTTCCTTGACTTCCCCA